AAGAAGAGGGCTGGCTCTTGAATGTTCCTTTTCCCCAGTGGAATGGTGTCAGAGGAGGGTCAGTCGGTGACACGCAGCCAGATGGGGGCAAGAGAACCATCTCACTGCTTAAAGCCCTGCACAAAAGGCTCCTGATGTTTTGTGGGGCCTGGGGACAACACAGCCTTCTAAAACCAATTCAGTCAGATGCAAATAGAAGGGAATGATTGGCAGTGCAGCATAGAAGCTGTAGTTTGCATGCATTTTTTTCCCTTCGCTACAAGGTGCTACACTAGGGTAGTGTTACAGCCTTAGAGAAGGGGAAGGGTTTTGCTAGTGTTCAAGCAAGGGCCCTTTCAACCCTGCTTTAAGAAAATTGAAAATGAGCAACTGTACACTGCACTCCTTCTCCAACCACCCAGCACCAGGTGGACTCTAAGCCGGGCAAGCTGTGCTGCTTCATTTTAACATCACCTTTGGCTCTGGACTGGCATCCTCAAGCCAACATTTCTTCTCTGTTGCCTTTGAACTTTTAATATCCGCACAGGTACTGAGGTACCACTTGTTATTTTGTTAGTTCTCTACTTCCAGAGCTATGCTAGTTTTAAGTCATCTGCTTTGTAACCCTGGGCCCCATGGTTTTCACTTGCATGCCTTTGTTGTAGAACATGAGGTTTTTTAGGACTATTTTGTTATAGCAGATACTTACTGTGAGACTAGGTGAACCAGAGGTCAGTTTCCTATGAGTCTTCAGTTTTTACTAATACTGTCTATAACTTTAGAAGAATAATGAGATTAAATGAGTTAATACATGTAAAGTGCTTAGAATTCCTGCTTAGAGAAGGCTCTCAAATATTGTTTATTATCAGACTCATGATCATATTCACTTATCATCATTATTAAATAGGTAACTTCTTTATTCATCTGGTTTATGGAATCATGGTTCATTTTCCAGAGTTATTGTAATCCTACATGCAATTACAGGGTTTCTGCATTTATAACTATAATGTTGTATAGCCATAGTGTAATGTTTATTCATCATATTTGCAAATACTTCATTGATAAGTTAAACATTTTTATCTGAGAGAAAGGTTTTTTATTTGTTTGTGACAGGGTCTTGCTCTGTTCAGGAACTTGTGATCCTCCTGCCTCTGCTTCCTGAGGGCTGACATTACAGGCATGCACCACCATGAACAGCCAGTGAAAGGTTAAATGACGTTTAAATTCAGATATATCGGTTTATTTGTATTTCCTCTAGAGGCCATATTAGCTTTTCTGTGTCTTTTTGTTCGTGGCACTGCTTTTAGACAGAGTTGCAGACTATTTAAATGTGGTGAGTAGATGTGGAGTCAAGTGGAAAGGGAATTGGGAGGTCTTGATGTCTACTAGAGGAAGGAGGTTACTATCTACTTGGAGCTACTTCTGCTTATTTATTTTGTTTGGGCATATACTCATCAGAGAGCAGAGAACAGCAACTGAGTGAAGATCAGGGGCAATTTCAACTGAAATCCCAGTACTCCAAAGGCTGAGGCAGGAGGATCACAAATTCAAGGCCAGCCTGAACATAGAGACACCCTTTCTCAAAAACAACAAAAACCCCACAACAACAAAAAACGGAAGTCATGGAGAATTTTGAATGCTAGCCCAAGGAAACTAGATTTAGTGTGCAAAGCAGGGAGAAGCCATGGACTGTTTTTTAGCAGGCAAATGACAGGATAGAATTTTACTGTTCTGTTTTGCAAACAGAAGGTCAGGGCTCATTAATGAGTCACAGAACACACTTAGTGGATGGGTGTTCCAGCAGGCAGCTGATGGCATACTGTAACTGAAGAGGGTTCATTTTAAGCAGGTTAATAAGAGACTAGTATTTGCAGAGTTAGGGAAGAGACAAAAAGGAATGCTTGCTACAACTGTCTTCAGAGATTTGGAGAAGGGTAAAGACTTGCTCCTGGGTAAATAAACTCATACATAATCTTTGGTGAAGGACACTCCTTTTTCCTCAGAGTTCTTCAGCCACCTGGGAAAATGTTCTCTTGGGTTTCTACATCATCTGCCTGGTCCGTGCATCACTGTCATCTGTTCTTTGTCACACATCGAACACCGAAATGTTTGAGAAGGCCAAAATATTTAGGTGTTCCTGCTCCAGGAATCAATCCAATTGCACTGCCAGTGCAATTACTCTTTCACCTTAGCCTCTAACTGGGAATGGAAGTTGTGTCCATCTATAGTTCTTTCCCATGTTTGCTTTGTGTGCGTGATGGGGGCAGTGGTAGAGGGTGAATAGAATTTTCTTCTTCAGTCTGATCCCTTCTGCTTTCAAGGAGTCCTTCTAACTTGTGGAATATGACATAAATTTTAGAGCTGGAGATCTAAAAAATCGAAAAAAAATTTTAGATATACGTGCATATGTAATGTTTACACATGTTTATAAGTAAAATGGCATAAGGCTTTTGGGAGACCAGCTAGATAATTGACTTATCTAGTTTAGCATTTTAATCTAGTACCTAGGGAAACATTTTGTATTGTCTTTATTTTCTCCCCTTTAGATTGCAAGAGCTTATCAATCCTAAAAAGACTGAGGACAGAGAGAAAAAAGACGAGCCCAGCAAAGAAAACCATCAGCAGGCCCTAGTTGACCAGAGATACTTTCAGGTATGAACAGCGAACAGGAAGGCTGGTGGTGGATGAACCTTGGTTTCCATTGTGGGTAATAAGTTATCTCTTGGAAGGAACACTTGTACAGTCGGCCCTGTGTCTGTGGTTCCAGGGCACCTATGGATAACCAAATCTGAAAGCTCCCTTCTCTAAAATGGCATCGTGTTCGCATGTAACTTGTGCACAGCACTCCAGATTGCTCATCATAGTCTATTTATAACCCTTTACTCACTTAAGCCATTTTGCTTTTTATTGTTATTGTTGTCACTATTATTAAGCAAATCTTAGGGTCTTGTGTTTAAATACTATGTTCATGTGAAATATAATTTTCTATGTGGTGTGATATAGGAAATTTGACCTTACTGGGTTTTATAGACCATTTACTGAATAGATGAGCAGTTAAATCTAGTAATTTATTGACTGAACTGAGCTTGCATGCATATTTTATTGAGCCCACTTTGGGTTTTTAAATATTTTTTGGTGGCACTAGGGTTTGAACTCAGGGCCTCATGCTTGTGAGGCATGCACTCTACCACTTGAGCCACTCCACCAGCCCTTTTCTGGGTTGGGTTTTTTCGAGATAGAGTCTTGTGAACCACTTGCCTGGACTGGCTTTGAACCTTGATCCTCCTGATCTCTGCCTCCTGAGTAACTAGGATTACAGGTGTGAGCCACTGGTGCCTGGCTAGGGTTTTTAAATTTTGAATTAATTACTAATATTTCAAACATTACATGATGTTATTAAGTCCTCATTGCCAGCTTCCCTTAATTTCTGCATGCTCCTTTTTTTCTTTTTGTGTGTGTGCATGTGTTTTGTTTTGTTTTTTTTTAAGTAGGACTGGCATTTGAACTCAGGCCTACTTGCTTTTCATGCTTGCAAAGCAGGTGCTCTACCACTTGAGCCACACCTCCAGTCCACTTTTGCTCTGGTTATTTTGGAGATGGGATCTCATGAACTTTTTGTCCTGGCTAGCCTGGAACCATGCTCCTCCCGATCTCAGTGTCTCACGTAGCTGGGATTACAGGAGTGAGCTACCACACGCAGCTCCTGCATGTTTCTTATCAGGGCAGAGTTCTGTCTGTCCCTGTCAGATATGAGCTTGTACTCTCCAGTTAGCTGTACTTCCCACCCATCCTTGCTTCACTTATTTATGCTCATACTTGGTTCCTCTGGGCATTTGAATTTGCAGTCTCTTGACAGGCCACTTTTTTCCTCTATTGAAATGACTTTTAGCATATTCATGCTTCTTTGTATGCATAAATTCATTTCTAGACTACCTGGTCTGTTCCAGTCCTATGCTGTTTCCATATTCTTTAATTTTATAGTTTTATACTAGGTTTTTGAAACCTTTTTCGGATTAAGGATTTCCCAATTTTTCTTGGATATATTTTTGGTACTTTTACCCTTCAGGATGAACAATTTTTCAAATTAAAAAAAATCCCATTGAGATGAACTGAAATTAGATTGACTTTATGGATTAATATTCAGATAAATGATACCAGAGCGTGTTCTTACCCTACCACAATATAAAAGGCAGCCTAACTGGGTGCCAGTATCTGACATTGTAATCCTAGGTACTCAGGAAGCACAGATCAGGAGGATAGTGGTTTAAGCCAACCCCAGGCAAATAGTTCTGGAGAACTATTATAATGGGTTTGAAAAAAACCCATTATAAAAAAGGGCTGGCAGTTTGGCTCAAGAGGTAAGAGTACCTGCTAGCAAGCATGAGGCCTGATTTCAAACCCCAGAGCGCCAAAAACAATATAAAAGAGCAACCTTCTTGTTGCTGCTCCTTTCCTTGTTGTAGTCTGTTTATGTGTGATTCAGATCATTTTGCTATGTAACAATCACATTCTAAAACTTAGTAATTGAAAATACCCTTTACTGTTATTAGACTCAAACAGCTGGGCAGTTTTGTTAATATTGGCTCTGCATCGATGGTGAGATTCAAGGCAGTAGAATGACTCTGCTTCTGGGAGATCAGTGTATTGTGTCCAAGTGATGTGGATGACTGGGCCAGGTGTACATACGTTATTACCCCAGTCCTGCCTAGACTTGGCCAAGTGGCAGTGACAGAGCTCAAAGAGAAAGAGAAAAAGTGCTCAAGTTGTCTTAAGAAATAACATTTTTCAAGTACATTCTGTGGATTGAAGCAAGGTCCAAGGCCAGCCTAGATTCGGGGATAGAATCCCACTCTATCACAGTGCCATACTGCAAAGGTCGAAGATAAGGAAGAGAAATAATTGCAAACAAAGCTAAGACAGAGTCTGAATACGTACTACTAAACATACACGTAATCTACTTCGTTCACTCCCCATCACAAAGTTGATAGATATCATAGAAGTGAAATGTTGAAATACACACTCCTAAGCTCAGCCAAAACAAAGAAAACTTCCTTATGAATAAACACCAGAAGCCAAATTCTCAGAAGACCTGTTCGTTGTAGCTTTCTCTCTGGGTAGAAAAGCAGAGCAACAGCATTTTCCGCTAGTTCTAGGTATACTTTAAGGAGCAGTCTTCTGGTGAGTCCTTGCTGGTGAATTTCTAACACTTTCCTGGGTAGGAATGTTCTTATGGTGTAGGGTCAGTTTGATTACTTCCTGCTGAAACCTGCACAATGTGGCCAGGACTGTAGGCTGGGGAGACTTTATTAATAGCTCTCCTTTGAACTCTGAAGTTTGAAACAACAGAAAAGGCCCTTAACACCCTACTTCACTTAAATGCTAGGAGGTGGACAGAGGGAATGTGTCCAGGTGACTTCTCTACGTGCCATTGTAAGAGGACAAAATAACTGTTTTCAAGTCTAATTCACTTCAAACTTCATTTTAGTTTTTCTGTAGTTTTTGATCTTATTAGAGCTTACATACTAATGAGTGTCTGTCTCATTAAAGATCCTTGTTTTCTTTTTCTGGTTTTTGTTTGTTTTTAAGCAGGGTCTCACTGTGTAGTCCAGGCTGGCCTTTTACTCACAATCTTCCTGCCTCAGCAACCTGAGTGCTGGGATTGCAAGCATGTACCACCATGCCCAACAAAGATCTTAATACCTAAAACTATTAACTCTGAAAATGTTATGTTGACATGTAACGCACTCCTTTAGCATACCTGAATTTGTTGGACTAGGATGAACATTTGAACTAGAACACTGTCTTTCTTTAAAGGTGCTGTGTAGCATCAATTCAATTATTCACAATCCAAGAACTCCAGTAATAATTTATAAACAGAGCAAAGGAGGAGCTCCAAACTTTCATAAAGATCTTATTCAAGACTGTGGATTTGAACATCTCGTTCCCATAATAGAAATGTGGGCAGACGAACTGACATCCCTAAAGGTAAGGCTTGAATGATCTTTACTTGCTTGAAAATCTATTGGGCTCTCTGGAGCTTATCATTGGCTTTTGTTGATGCTGTTGACAATGAAGCTGGAGGACTGGAGGTGTGGTTCAAGTGGTAAAGCACCTGCTTTGCAAGCATGGCAGCCTGAGTTCAAACCCCAGTTCCATCAAACCAAAACAAAGCAAAAAGACAATGAAGCTGGAACCTTCTACTTACATACCTGTTTTTCAATGTTTTTAGCTTATGTTAATAGCACAAAATAATGGGTTTCATTATGACATTTTCATACACGTATAAAATGTACTTTGATCACCCTCCATTACCCTCTTCTGTCTCCCTTCCCGCATCCTCTTCCTCTTCCCAAGCAGTCCCCCTTTTTTGTCTTTTCTTAAAAAATCAGTATTTCACATGAGTCTGCCTTACATTGCTTAACATGATGATCTCCGTTTCCATCCATTTGCCTGGAAAATGACACAATTTCATTCTTCTTTATAGCTGAATACTAATCCTTTTTGTGTGTTTGTTTATCCATTCATCTGGTGATGAGCACCTAAGCTGATTCCATAACTTGGGTACTGTGACTAGTGCCCGATAAACATGGGTGTGCAGGTGTCTGTTAAATTCCCTTGCATATACCCAGGAGTGGCAGAGCAGGAACATAGGACAGTTCTAATTTTAGTTTTCTGAGGAACCGCCATACTGATTTCCATAGTGGCTGCACTAATTTACATCCTCACCTACAGTGTGTAGTGTTCCTTTTCCCTTGCATCCTCACCAGCATTAGTTGTTTATTGTTTCCTCCCCAAGCCCCGCCCTTGATAATAGCCACTCGGGGGAAGGGTGGACTCAGAATCTTAGTGTAGTTTTGGTTTGCATTTCCAAATGGGATCATTTTTTCATGTGTTAGCCATCTGTACATCTTCATTTGCAAATGTCTGTCAAGTTCATTTGCTCATATCGGTCGCTTATTTATTCTTTTGGTGTTTACTTTTTTGAGTTCTGCATTCTGGATATTAATTCCCTGTTGGATGAGTAGCTGCCAGAGATTTTCTCTCGTTCTGTAGACTGTCTTTTCACTCTGGTAATTGTTTCCTTTGCTGTGCAGAAGCTTTCTAATTTGATGCAGTTCCATTTGTCAGTTTCCATTTCCCTAGCTATTGGGGTTCTATTCAGAAAGTATTGCCTATGCCTGTTTCTTGAAGTGTTTCCCCTTTTCCTCTGATAATTTCACTTTCAGGTCTTGATTAAGGTCTTTGGTTCATTTTGAATTGACTTTTATACGGGATGAGAAGTAGGGATCTAGCTTCAGTCTTGTAGGTGTAGACATCCATTTTTCCGAGCACCATTTGTTAAAGAGGCTATTTTTCTCTCCAATGTGTATTTTTGGAATTGTCTTCCTGATTTCTCTCTCAGCAGCTCTATCAGTGTGTAGAAAAGCTACTGCCTTGTGTGTTGATGCAAGATGTAACAGTGCTAGCTGCACTTCCCTCCTCAGAAGGGATGGGACAGAGAAAGCCCAACCTTTCCAAGAAAAGGGAAAGATGAGGTGATAAAGGAAGCCAAGGGAAGAATGAAATTAATAGATATTTACTGCTTGTTCTCTGTGTCCAAGGTCATGAGAGGTATGAGAAAAGGTGAACGTAAGATTCAGACCAATTGGAAAGATGGAATGTACTAAAAAAATATGAAATAAATTTCAGTAACCCCTCAGTGTAACATTAGACAAAGCGAAGGCCATGAAGACAGATACCCATGGTGCAGTGCAAGGCATGATGCTGATAACTTAGACTCTAGGGTCTGGACAAGGAAGAGAAAGGCCTGAGAATGGCCCAGCAGTGGTGGCAAGTTCTGGCTACTCCATAGTTTTTTGTGTAGAAAGTAAGGAATTAGTTTTCTAGTGAGAACACTCTGAGGACATCCAAGGGACAATCAGTTACTTCTGCCATTGAGGTAGCTCTGGTACTTCAGGCAGTGCTTCTTGCATTCATACAGCAGATTCAGAACCCAAAATAATCTCTGTGAACCCCTCCTCCAAGGTTTCGTAGGGAGAGCTCTTCCTAATGAGCACCCTCTTAGCTCAAGGCAACCATCTTCCCAGGTTGCATTGTCCCCTTGGGTTGGATGTGACTTAGAAGGATGGATTTGAGGGATGAATGGATAAGGAAATTGTGCTATGTGCACATTATGGGATATTATATATGTGGTTTAGTTTAAATTGATGTATATCTGTATATATGTATAGTGTATATTGTGATGTTTCAGTACCACGTATACAGTATACAATGTCAGATCAAAGTAATTGGCATATACATCACCTCAAACATAATTTGTTTGGTTAGAAACTTTGAAAATCTTCTCTAGAGCCTAGCCATTTTGAAATATACAGTTGTTATCAACCTTAGTTTCTTACTATGCTACAGGACATTGGAAGTCACTCTTCCTGTTCAACTGCACCTCTGTACCCCTTAACCATCTTCTTCCTGTCCCCACCCGCACTCTTCCCAGGCTCTGGAAACAACTTTAGTAGTTTTATGGGAGATCAACTTTTTAACTTTCACCTATGAGTAAGATTGCATGGTGTTTGTCTTTATGTGTCTGGTTTATTTCACTTAACGTAGTGTCCTCCAGTTCCATCCATGTTGTTGAAAATAACAATTTTAATATTTTTATGGCTGAATAATATTCCAACACACATATATACCCCCCCCCACGTTTTCTTTATCCACTCTTCTAGGTGTCATTGAACACCTGGGTTGATTTTACATCGTGGCAATTGTGAATAATACCTCAGTAGACATGTGAGTGTTGGTGTCTCTTTGATATGTTGATTTTATTTAATTTGGATAGCTGCATAGTAATGGCATTGCTGGATTGTATGGCAGTTCTATTTCTAGGTTTTTGAGGAATCTGCATTCTGTTTTCTATAATGGCTGTACTAATTTACATTCCCATTAACAGTGTATGAGAGCTCCCTCTTAATGGAATATTATTCAGCCATACAAAGGAAGGAAATTCTAACCCATGCTACAACATGGATGAATATTATGAGGACATTGTGCTAAGTTAAAGAAGCTAGTGATGGAAAGACAAATTGTGAGAATCAACTAAAGTCAGGTCTTTTCTGTCAAAGGGGTTCATGTATAGTATATTATCATTGCACAGATGTCAGCTTAACTTCCCTGAATTGTTGCCTGTGTGCCTTGTGAGATGTCACTTAACCCTGTAAGCTCCTGTTTTGAACAAATGGCTGATCTTAGCTGAACCAGTTCCTGCTATCACCAGGGGGCCTTAGTTTAAAAAAGTGCTCGCTTAAGGCAGCTGTTGTTCAAGTAAACCTTTGCTCTCCTACCCCAAGGTCCCTGGCTCACATGCCCCCTTTTCAAATTAGCCAGTCGTGAAGGTTGTGAACCCAAAACCTGTTCAATCAGGGTTAGGGGCAGACTTGCATTAGAGATAAAACCTGAACAGACTTCCTACCCAGTGTGCTTGCTCACCAGGGAGGTTGAGCCGACTCTTTGTTGGTTGCACACCCTTCTGCAGAAGTAAATTTTGCCTTGCCCAGTGACTTCCAAGTTGTGTCATCTCTCTCATGACATCCAATATACTGAATTCATTTCTAACAAAATGCTGTATGATTTTATGTATATAAGATATTTATAGCAGTCAAAAATCATACAGACAAAGTAGAATGCTGGTTGCTGGGGTGGGTGGAGAGTAACATTAAATGTAACACTGAAAGGATGGTAGACCTTATGTGTTTATGCACACATACACACAAAACCAGAAAGAGAAAAGGTATGTGAGCAAGTTGGGAAGGAGCCACTAGCTGTCTCCTAGCTCTGGGGATTGAGCTCAGAGCCTCTCAAACGCCAGTCAAGTGCACATGGCCCCTGCTGGCCTCCTGACTTTTTCCCCTCACCTTTCCAGTCCCTGACGCTTTTGTATGCTTGTACTTTCCCATCCTTCAGTGCTCCAGAGTCTGGCCAGACAAGGTGGATAGGACCTTGTAGTGTTTCTACATCCCCAGCAGCACAAAGTGAAGAGCACAGGAGACCTCTTCAAGCTGTTCAGGGCTTGCTTGATGGGACTGAGCTACAGATTTCTGTCACTGCCAAGGAGCCCAGAACATTCTTCTTAGTTTTGTCTTTACAGATGCACATACACACACAATTTATATATATATATATATATATATATATATATAAAATTTAATATATGTTATATATATATACACACATATATATTTTACATAATATAATATGTAACATATATATTTATTTATATATATATATAAATTATGCAGTGCTCAAGGTTGGACCCAGAGCCTCATGCTCATCAGAGAGGCACTTAATCTCTGAGCTGTACCCCAGCCTAGTTTACCATAAATCTCTCTATAAAAGCACCTGTCGAGGGAACGATGGTTAATAAAAGTATCATGCTGCTACTTGCACCACCAACAAAATACTCATGATGCCTGTTTGCCTGAGCTCTATCTGTCTATCTATCTATATCTCTATATATAGGCAGCACTGGGGTTTGAACTCAGGGCCTCACATGTGCTACACAGGCTCTCTTACTGCTTTAGCCACTCCACCAGCTCTATCTATATTTTTATCCTGCACGGCTCACTTTATTTTATTAGTGTTGCTGTACAAACTCTTTATTAAAATCAGTAATACCACGTAGTTTCTTTTGTTGTGAAGGATTTGTATAAGACCTTGAAAATGCTGTCTGCAGAACTGGTGCCGTGGCATAACTTAAAGAAACAGGATGAAAATGAAGGCATCAAAGTTGAAGATCTGCTCTTTATGGTAGATACAATGTTGGAAGAAGTTGAGAATAAGGAAAAGGTAATACTTAATACTTCAGTGTTCACATTTTAAAGTTTTATATCAAACATTTGGGATCTTGCTAACATATGAACTGTCTTTTTCACTCTCTCTCCTGGACAGGGCAGCAAAACACCAAACTTTCAAACTTTACAAGCTATTGTCTCCCACTTCCAAAAACTATTTGATGTGCCTTCTTTGAATGGAGTCTTTCCCCGGATGAATGAGGTGTATACAAGGCTTGGGGAAATGAGCAACGCTATAAGAAACCTCCAAGAACTCTTAGAATTAGGTGATAACCGTTTGTTGTTTTGAGCTCTCATTTAAATTATTCCTAATAAATTGACAAGTTAAGTAAGTTAAGAAAATTATTTAGTTGTTTGTTTATCTATTTATTTTGAGACAGGGCATTTCTCTGTAGCTCAGGTTGGCCTAGAACTCACTACATAGCCCAGGCCGAGGCAGTCCTTCTTCCTCAGTTTCTGATGTGCTAGGTGGCATGTGCCACCACATCAGGCAGAAAAAAATTTAAAAGCCACCAAGGGGAACTGAAGTATAAAATGTTTGATGGATGCAAAGATTTTGGATTTTTTTTTAAGGAAGTGATCCTCTGCTTGTGTTTGTCTTTTGCAGATAGTTCGTCCTCTTTGTGTGTACTGGTAAGCACAGTCGGAAAGTTGTGCAGACTGATTAACGAGGATGTGAGTGAGCAGGTTAAGCAGGTACTAGGACCTGAAGACCTCCAAAGGTATTTGTTTGGAAAGTATCATCCAGAGCTTTTGAAACTAAAGACTTTCCAAACCGCACATGTTATGTACCTTCCATGTTTGGAATGGCACTTTCGAAATAACTTGACGACTTAAAGTACGTTCACACCCTTAGGGATGGAGAAAATGCCAGGTGTGCTCAGGATGAAAACAGGGCATAGAGGTCCGTTCACATAGGGTGGGTCAGGAGCTCTCCAACATAAGCTGATTTCCAGATTGTAGCCTGTAATCTATTATTTTATTAGATGGTAAATATTAGGTGTTTTTTTAAAGGCTAGGCATCACTAACATAAAACCCGATGTTTTTAAAAAGATACTGTGGAGCTGGAGGTAAAGCTGTGTGCTTAGCATGCATGAAACCTGGGTTCAGCCTCCAGCGCCCCTCCCCAGATTGAGACATCATAGCTGTATTTAAAGCAACTTTCCCCACTTCCCTGCCAATTTCCTTTGTAACACAAGGGAAGGGAAGGAAGCACACATACTACATGGTGCATGCAGTCCACAAGCGTTCCAGGAAGAACCCTCTATACTCTGATGCTTGAGTTTGCTGTTTGATGCTTTTAAAAGGAATGTGTCCTGCTGTTGATCTTTTTCTTCCTTTCCATGGTTTTACTCACTACTGATACTTTTTCTTCATGTTGGAAAGGATATTGGGTACGAAAGTGTATTTTTAGAAAGAGTTATAAAAGTGTGTTCTGAGAAGCTTGGAGCTGAATGGGTGTTGCCGTGTGAACAGATATTTACACTGATAACAAAAAGATTTTTTTTTTTTAAAGAAAAGCAGTGTTAGGTGAAAAAATTGCTAGAAAGGAAGGATTGCAGTAAGCAGTCATTAAGTTTATATTTAAATTAACAGGATAGTTTCTTTCTACTTTGAAAATGTTCTATTTGCAACCATCTTTTTGCAGTCAGATGCAAGAACCCTTAATTTGAAATTTGGTGTAAACTGTGCATTTTTTAAACAGCATTATCAACAAATTGGAAGAACACGAGGAATTTTTCCCGGCATTTCAGGCTTTTACTAATGAGCTGCTTGAGATCTTAGGTAAGACCTCCATTGGCAGTTGTTGAATTTTGAGTCTTAAGATGTTAGTGGATTTCACAGAAGAGTGTCCCCTAGTCACTGGTGTTTACCTTAAGTGTTGGTAGAAAGTGTGTGGAAACCACTGTCAGTCCTGGAAAACCCCTCTTAACTTGCAGTTAACGCTGAGTGGGACTAGTCCACAGAATGCAAAAGCCCAGAGCCTTGCAGAGATAGGGGTTGCTGTGTTGGGAACCATATCGTGAGTCATGGCATTATCTGGTCCAGGCCCAGTTTAACCCTGGCTCCGTCATAACCTACTAAGAAATGATGGTAGAATTTATGACCTTGGAAGGCCTCCCCTTTCTTCCCCTTTTCTTTTTCTGGCTTTTTTTCTTTTTTACTTTTTTTTTTTAAGATAGCTTCTGCATACTGTGCTTTTTTAAGTACGTAAATAAAACTTTGTCAGGTGGCATGAAGTAATATAAAGCAGTGACCTCTACAGCAAGGGAAGGTTTAGCATTGTACTTATGCACAGATGATTTGTTTGGGAGTCACAGTCAAAAGAGGCTACTTATTTTAATGTAATACATATGACTATAAAGTTAACTTAAGAACAGTTTTCAAAGTTTAAGGCAATTTATTCATAGTGAATTCTTTTTGCCCTTGTGCTGGTGGTCACACTCAGGGCCTCTTGTGTTCCAGGCAAGCACTCTTACCATTGAGCTACATCCCCAGGGACCTGACTTCTTTTTTTTTTTTTTTTTCCTTTTTCCTTTGTAGTTCTCTGAAAAAAAAATTTTTTTTTTTTTTTTTTAAAGAATCACTCCTTGGAGTCTTAACTCCCATTTCTTGCATAGGGAACAGGAACTGTTTCTCCCTTTTTCTCCATTTCTCTCCACTTTTATCCTACTATAGTAAATTTCTTCTGTAATAAACTTTACCATTTCTTTCATGAAAGAAAGAAAGGGAGAGAGAGAGAGAAGAAAAATCACTCCTTGATTTTAGAGCAGAAAGTGATGGTCGTTAGGAAGACAAGGGAATCACTAAATTAAAACGTGGTAAGAAGAGGGAATGCAACTATAGACACTGGGTGGCCTCGAGAATACAAAGGAGGGTTTGTGGGCTTGTGTGATGTGACTGTGACCCGGCATCCTGGAGAGCCTGGCATCATAGAAAATATGATTGTACTTGCTTACACAGCAGTGTGGTAGTCATTCATAAATACTGCTTTGCATGTTAATAAATATTTTAATAGGTGTGCTAATAAAAATTATTTCACTTTTTTTTTGCGGCACTAAGGTTTGAACTCAGGGCCTCACACTTGCTAGGCAGGCGCTCTACCACTTGAGCCACTCCACCAGTCCATAAAAATTATTTCAGATCCTCCCATAGAATTAGCTATTACAACACTTAGCATGGTTCCTTTGCTTCAGAAAGCGAAAGTTTTTTGCTGGTAAATCCTATATTTTGGTCAAGGTTGTAATTCTGGAATTAAATTTATTATATTTAACATTGGAAAAATTAAATCTGTTTGACAAATTATGACTGTGTTTATACTCGTTGTCATCTGGGTATAGAGTAGCATTCTGAATACCAGATATGGAGACTGTCTTCAGTAGCTCAAAATTTTTGGTGGTACTGGGGTTTGAACCTAGGACTTTGCACTTGTGAGGCAGGCGTTCCACCACTTGAACCACACACCCAGTCCAGAAGATTTAATTTTATATTTCCTTTCTTTTTCTTATATCCATGGTGTGACTGAGAATTTCTCTGTGAGGTTCATTTATAAGGCTGGTTTCTTATTTAGTGAGACATAGGTGTGATTTCAGAATGGGGGAAGAGATAGGGCATAACTTGATCTTGGAAATCAGTGTAAGGTACGAAGCAGCTCTGTGTTGAAGGTTGAGTTACATTGTTTCCTGTATCTTAATACTTTGTAAGAAGGTCCAGTCAAGCATTCTGACTGAAGGTAGAGCTTAAAAAATGAATGACCTGGACAGCATGGGTCATGGGTTTAGGCTCAAGGAAGATGGAGTTAAAACAATGGAGAGAGAGTCCAAGGAAGCATATTTTATGAATTTATGAACAATGGCCTGGCAGAATAAGCGACAAAAAAGTCATGGATATCCAGAGGACCTGCCATTTGGAGTCTACATAAGTAGAGCTGGGATCTGGAAAATGACAGAATTGCTTCCTCTGTTGTCAGGAGCTTTGCAGGATGAATTCTGACTTAGGTTAAAATATGCCACTTTTAGGAAGAAGACTCAAATTCAGAAGGAACCTATAAACTGGGGACATGGCTCTCAAGTGGTTGAGCACCTGCCTAGCAAGTGTGAGGCCCTGAGTTCAAACTCCAGTACTGCCCTCCCCCCAAAATAAAGTGTATCAGAAGAACACTCTTCTCTTCTGTGAGAGAGAAGACCCTGAACTGGTTTGTCTGGCAAACCAGACCAGGCTTAGCAGTTACACATTTCACCTGAGGCCTGTTCCGAGTCGCCTCATGCCTTCTAGTAGATACATCCCCTTCATCCTAAAAGACAGCCAAGAGCACTCCTCTAGTGAGAATTCTTCCTAAGAGAATCAAAGGAGCACAGTGTTTTATGAGCAGAAATCCCCAGGCCCTCAGATGGAGACCCAGGAAAGAGATGCCTTTCTCTGGGGTTTCCCCATGTTGGCTCACCCATGTAGTACTACAGCTCTAAAGAGGCACTCACCTATTACATACATGGCCAAGTGGACCTGTTTAGTAAGAGCATGCTGTTGAGGGAGCGCCAGGGCTCAAGGGTGCTTGTGGGCATTTGGTAGCTTTTGTGAATGGACACCCTGTGAAGCACCTGTCCCTGAGGCAGTGATAACTGCACGACTGTTGGAGAAAGACTTCATGTGCATGAAAACACTGGTGGTGGTACTGCTGCCCCTGGATTTGACCTCATCACTAGAAAAAGTTACTGTCCTTTATTCTTGTTTTTCTATTACAGAAATTGATGACTTGGATGCCATTGTACCTGCAGTAAAGAAATTAAAAATACTTTCATACTGAAAACAAATCAAATCATTTTTACTGTGTAAATTGTATTCTTAATATTCTAAGTATTTTGGGGATTGATCTTATTTTTGAGACAAGGGTTCTAAAATGTACTACCTCTCAGAATTCATCCTCTTAGAATTGGTTCATTCTCCATATAATTTTTATTAACCTTGTTTTTTTTTATACAGAGAATAGTTGCTAAGTTATTAAAGTAGTAAATTAATTATAGATCCCATAATCATTTGGGCAGTTTTTGAGTGCTTTAAAACTTATGGTTGTTTTAAGGTAGAGTTTGTGAGGAAGAGAGACACCCAGGGAGATAGATTGCAAGTAACAGAAAAGTTGTGTTTAAGTTCAAGGTTTAATGCCCTTTGGATCAGGGCAAAAGGAATTGCTAAGTTCAGCCAGTAAGCAGCCACTGCTGTCCTGGCAAGGATAACTGGCACATTCTGTTTAAGAGGTCCTTATGGCCATTACTCTTTCAAAGTTGGAGGAAGAAAGGAAAAAAGTTTTTTCTTTGTGTTGGGATCAGAACTGAATCATGGAGTAAAATAGAAGAACAGATAGAAGTACCTCAGAGAAAAAGTATCTCTTTTGCAATCTTTTTTTAAAAAACTCCCCCACCCTCTGTAATCTTAATGTATTTTTTATAAGGACATATGATCTCAAATAAAACTTGTAAACGATTTCCAAATGTAACTGTCCTCAGTGACTTATTTGTCCTGTTCTCCCCCTAGGCTGAGCCTGCCTTGGGTGGCTGGTTCTCACTTGCAGCATTTCTCCCAACAGTATGGCTCATACAGCTCTCTGCTTACTCTCTTCTCACCATCAGTCTGATTTTCTTAAGCATTGTGCTCTGCATCACAGCCCCGAGTACACGCTGATTCGGGCTCCCTCTCCCCTCCTCTTACAAATATAGCAGGCTTGGGAAGGTTCTTACTTATTCTTGTTGGATGGCATGTGGAATATTGTAAAAGTATTTCCAGGAAACAGCATGGTGGCATGGAGAGAAATGTCAGTAGACAAGTGTCCACATCCCGGGTGCTGTGACTTTAGTCTTAGGGATGAAACGCAAGGTAATATTTTAGATTCCTTCTATGTTTAAAATTCTTTGTTTTGTTAACTTGTACCATGTGTCTCAAGAATTGGGTAGAGATTGCTTCTTGGCCTTTTGGCTAAGATCAAGTGTAGTATCTGTTCTTATCAGTTATCCTCTATGCAAGGACAATATATTAAATGGATTTTTGGAAGCAGGAGATATAATAGGAGTTTGCTCTGTTCACTCCATACATCGACCTGGTATTGCAGTACTTCCAGGAACAGTGCACCAAAAAAAAAAACAAAACGGGTAGAAAAAGCATTTGGAGACCGGGCATGATAGTACATGCCTGTAATCTTAGCTGCTTGGGAGGCAGAGGTAGAAGAATCCTGGTCTGAAGCTGGTATGGGTGAAAGTATGAGACCCTATCAGAAAAACAAACTAAAAGTGAAAGGACTGGAGCTGTGACTCACGTGGTGAGTGCTTGCTAGCACATGGCCCTGAGTTCAATCCCAGCAAAGGAAAAGCACTTGGATGAGCAGTAATGTAAACCCTCTGAGTTGCTTACTGTAGGAAATTGCTGTGAGACAGCTTGGAAGTCCTGGCAATATTTGAAAGAAAGAGATATAATTAAAGATTAATGTTTTAAAGATTAAGATTGGAGGAGATGCCTCAAAGGCCACCTAGGAGGACAGGATTGATAGGAATAGCTTTAAGTCCTCTGGAGCAAATCTATTACCCAATTTTAATTATTTAAGATATAATAAAAGTAATGTAATCACTGTTTAGCAATACTTAAACATAAACTATTTATTTACTGTGGTACTGGGGCTTGATCTCGGGGCCATGCCCTTGCTAGCCAGGCATTCTACCACTTGAGCCACTTAGATGAACTTTTGTACATACTGCATATATGCTCTTAAAAGTCTTTATTATCCATCATTCCTACTGTGTTGTTTAAGTTTACTACATTCCTACCATTTTGTTGTTTGGGCTGCTTGATTTGTCACTTTCTAGGAGATACTAAAATTTCTATTGATTTGTCAAGTTTTGTTTTAGGTATTTTGAACGTACTTTGAGTACATGTAAGTTCATAGTTGATATGTCACCCTAATATTCCCCCTTCCCCATTGCTTACTCATGTTTATTGCCTTGCATGTATTTTTGTCTTTCAAGAGTTACTAGGCATTTCTTTTCCTTCATTTTACTAACCTTTTAAATTATAAAACATATGGTTAAAATGGTATAAACCATAAATGGCAGGTATAATGAAATGAACAGCACATAGCAACTAAGAAATGAATGTCCTTAGCACTCCCAACAGCCTCCCCTCCCACCCTGTGTCCCTTTCCCTGGAGATCACAGGAATGTTGCCTTTTGCTTTACTTACTTCCTTGATTGACCTCCTTCTATAAAATTGGAATCACAATAGTGCATATTCTTTTTAATATTTTTTAATACTCAATGTGCATCCACATTGTCACGTGTTGGCTCTACGCCATTTGTTTTTATTGCTGTAGAGTGTCTTGGGACAACTCACCTGTCCCATTGTCCCCTGCTTATCTGACATTTGGGTGGTTACCAGTTCTTGGCTATTGTAAGCAGTCCTGCCGTATACATGCATCCTCAGATACTTGTGTGCAAATTTTATGAAGTATATATTCAGGTCTGCTGCTGAGTCTTGGAGGAAATTGCTTCTGTGTACAGCCACATGGGTTACGAGGCCATGCCATTTCTACAGATAGTGGTGTGAATGGAACCTCTGGAACTGTACACAATGGTGACTTTGATAGTTACGTGTGACTTTAGAAGAAAATGCCAAAGTGGTTCCAATTTATACTCCCCAGGAGCAGTGAATGAAAAGCCCCTTTTGCTAGTGAAGTGTTTGCTAGTGCATGTGTTTCCTGATTGTTCGTGAAGTTGAGCAGCATTGCCTTGGTTTAGTGGGCATTTGTAGTTCTTTTCTGAAGACTTATGTGTCTTTTTCTTAGTGGTTTGTGAGAGTTACATACATGTTTTGGACCTGAGCCACTTGGAAGTTCTGTGTGTTACAAATGTCTTCTTCTGTTCTCTGGCCTTCTTATGTCTTCTTTTTATGTACAGAAGTTATTTTCCTGTATTATAGATATATAGTTTTGCCTTTCACGTATAGACTAATGTACCTGGAGATGATTGATGGTTGAATGTGGCAGGAGTCAAGGACCATTTCATATTTTCTCAGCACCGTTTTGTTGAAAAGTCTGTCCTTTCCCTTTGCTCACAGTGGTGTCGCCACTCGTAAATTGAATATTCTTATGTGAACTGTCTGTTGGTGGGCTTTTATTTCTGCCTATTGGTCCAGTTGTCTCTTACCGCTCTGGTTTAGTTATAACATTAAAGTAAACCATGTCATGCTGTGGAAGGTTTTTCATCCTCGTACTTCCATGTACATGAAGCTGCTCAGCAAGTCACACACATACACACGCCAATGGGGCTTTTCATCTTCTCACTAAACACAATTGAGCATGGGGAAAACTGGGGTCTTCTAGCCTCAGATGTGGTGTAGTTCTCCATTTGTCATTTTCCTGTGGATGTTGTTGAATGTATTAATAGCATTTAATATCTTATGTACTTAAAATTATCTTTTAAAATTGATTTCATTTTCTAATCATTGAGGGAACAGAGAGCTACAAGTGAGTTTTTCTTTTTAACATAATACTTTGGATTCAGCACCCTTGCAAAAACATTCTGATTAACGACTTAAGTTTTAGATTTTTGGGTCATGATAGTACTTGAGTGTGAGTCTTCTAGAATATGTATCCAGAACTAAAATTGCCAGGTCATAGGAAGCATGATTGTGTGTAACCGTATGGCTACGTACTGTACAACTCACTGCAACATCAGCTTTATGAATAACGGTGTGGACCTTCTCAGTGATGGTAAGAGTGAATGATATTTAAATGTGCATAACAGCTTGATTAGATACACCGAAGCAGCAACAGAAGGCAGCTTTTCCTCAATGTTTGCTGCAATTTTTGGACATAGCTTCACTTTCTACATCTTTCTTTTATGTTCATGCTGTTTGACATTCTAGATTTTAGTAGGTTTGTTGTGATTACAAACCTAAAGTCTTTGTATTTTCTGTTTATCATGTTTTTCTCTGCTTTCCTCCCCTTTGGTGAGGAGGTCACTAATTTTTCTTTGTAACCTTTTCTTCTGTAATGCTGAACTCTGTTGGTTTTCTTGGTTATTGTGAAATTTGACATTCAGGAGATAGAAGGTGCATTACACAGGTAAATAAAACATGAAAAATTTAATACAAGAATTGATAACTCTTAAAAGGTGCTTAACTACTAAACAGGGGTAGGTTGGAGAACTAAAGACAGAGCAAATGGTACTCCAGGGCCAAGGGAGCATGAGAAAGAGAGGACTTTGGGAACAGATGGGTGCCTCCTGGCTAGGTGGGCTTAAGCCTCAGAAGAGAGGCAGAGAAACCTGCAGGAGGGCCTTGGCCATGAACCGGGTTCACTGGACAACACACCCCACAAGCCACAGAGCTGACTGCCATGGAAGATGCTCGTGAGGAAGAGAAAGCCCTGTGGCTCCAATTGTCCGCCATCGTCCTCTACTGGCAGAGCCCAATAGCAAACTCTGGCAAAGATGCCCATGCTGGAAGGTAATAAATTAGTAACAGATGCACACAGCTTTACATTTTTGAAACAACAGTTATCTTTAGTTTCATAATATGAAGCTCACCATCCTAGCTGTCCCTTCTTAGCTGCTAGCATTTTAGTTCCACTGTGTTTTGAGACCCTCACAAAAACCTAAAACCTTTGGCTGTTTAGCGTTGTGCTTTAGGTAAGTGTTCCAAGGGCCCATGTGTTAAAGGCATAGCCTGAAACACCCAAAACTAAGCCAAAGGAATGTTTTTGCATTCTAAGCTGATACCTCATGTTTCTGTTACAGGAACGGAAGGTTGGTTGACACTCATTACCAGCATATTTACACTGCCTTCACTCCCCACAGGCCACTTGTGCCTTAATGGTACCCTTTCCTTCTTGCTATCTGCTGCTGTGCTCTGGAGGGCAGATTGTGTGCTACCACCTGCTGCCAACTTGTCCACCTTGCCTCCAACTGGTGTATACCAAAATATAACAAAGTGCTCAACACTTTAGGTCCTCTGCTGTCTCAAAGCTGCTTATACTTATCCTGATGCATTCCTTAGCTTTCTCCAGTGCTTTTCCGTTTTTGAATTATGTGTCAGCTTAGGGAGCAGTTACGATGTTGGCATGAGGTAGATGGATTAGGCATTAGTTCAAAATAGAAATCACAGAAACTATTTATTGTACATGTACTTAGCACAATCTTAAACATTTCAAGTAGCTTATAGTTCACTTGCAGGTAAACTGGAACATTAAGTATCAAACAGTACTTGTTGCTTAATACCTTGTAAGCATTTTAAACACAATGTCACAAGACAGAATTGTTGAGATGGGCATGGCATTGGGACAGTTCTGGAATAGACCATCTGCACATTCACGGAGGAGCCAAACCAGATTATCCTTAATTTGAGTACGCTTTGATTTTTATAGAACATAGGAAATCTGTACAGTGAAATAGCAGTGATGGGGACAAGAAGCCTATTTGTTCTTACAAAGCTTGAAATGCGTAAGAGGCACTTGTTTAAATATCTTAGACAAGCAGAAATTCTGTAATTCTGTCCCACTGTTCTAAAAGATGGAAAGCCCCCTTTCTTCCTTGGCACTGCCTCTCCTGTGAGAATACTGATGGAGGCCTGGGTTTGGGACTTGCATTTTTGTATGGAAATGTCATCACATAGGGGATGGTCTGCAGTCAAACTCCACTATCACTATTTAAATATACCACCACCACTATAGCTCCAAATTAGGAACGAACCTCCAGGCATACAAGCACCCGAGGTGGCAGCCAGAAGGACTTTGACAGTGTGAGCTCAGGTCACTTATTTTCACAAAAGAAGTGCCTGCAAATGCTGGTAGCTGCTCCTCCCCATGTCAGGGACAGGATATGTAGGCAAGTCCTAAGTCAGGTGTGCAAAGTCACGGCTGAGGTTTTGAAGACACAGACCAGTGCCTCATTTCTGGACAGAACAAATCCAGTGAAGTAGTTCTTGCCTTTATGTAACCACCTCTTACTTTCATCCAATGGCCATTTTGATTTAAATGAGAAAATACACATATGCACACATCCTATCATGTCAGGACAGTAGCACTTATCAGCTTCTGGGCTGTCCATCAGGAGTCAGCTCGTGCCTGTAAGACACTTGGGGTCATGTTCATCAGCTTCTGGGCTGTCCATCAGGAGTGAGCTCGTGCCTGTAAGACACTTGGGGTCATGTTCATCAGCTTCTGGGCTGTCCATCAGGAGTGAGCTCGTGCCTGTAAGACACTTGGGGTCATGTTCATCAGCTTCTGGGCTGTCCATCAGGAGTGAGCTCGTGCCTGTAAGACACTTGGGGTCATGTTCATCAGCTTCTGGGCTGTCCATCAGGAGTCAGCTCGTACCTGTAAGACACTTGGGGTCATGTTCATCAGCTTCTGGGCTGTCCATCAGGAGTCAGCTCGTGCCTGTAAGACACTTGGGGTCATGTTCATCAGCTTCTGGGCTGTCCATCAGGAGTCAGCTCGTACCTGTAAGACACTTGGGGTCATGTTCATGATAGTTCATTGTGGCTGTAACAGGACAAGCTGCCTAGGCCTCTGTAGAGCCAGCCAGGATTACTGATAGAGTTCACAAAGAGCCTGTGGACAGAAAGCCTGTCTCCCTTCTCTACAGTCCTATTGGGGAGCTGTGTGAGACAGTGTTGTGTATTAACAGTGATAAAATGAAAGGGCGCACTTACCACTGTGAAAAGCCCTTAATCAAATCTTCTTTTGATAGGTCAATCAGCACCTAAACAATCACAAACAATTAGTTCCGTTCCCAAAACACAGTGGAATGAACTGGACTGGCGGTGAGGGTTTCAGAGTTCTTTCTGTGGGGCAATACAGTGTACACGCCAGCCTCAGTGTTGTTATTTGGAGTGTAATTTCAGGTGATTTCCACTTTTTTTCAAGTGCCTCATCAGTTGAAATGTGATAATATCGGGCTTTAAAGAGATGAATGTAAGTAATGCAAGCCCCACAAATGCCCTCTTCTCCTCAGGCGTCCTGAGGGTTGTATTTCCTCTACTTTAGGTAAAGTACCGAAATCCATCATCACCAAACTCTTGACACTGCTGTTTATCAAAACAACACTTAAGCCCGCAGTCCATGCTCACGTACTTTTGGAATGCTGAATTTGAATAGGCTTTAAGTTTTAAAGATATAAAAGACAACCCTCTCGATGAGGCCATACCCTGTTTGTGGTCAGTTCTAGTGATGGTCACCAGAATTTGACAAGGACTCCAGGAGAGACCGAGTGCCCACAGTCTCCCCTATACTTACTTTTCCTAACTCTTTCCTTCTGTGTGAGCCAAGTGGTCTACTATTTTTCACTGCGACATCCAGTGACCTCTTCTGTACTTCTTCCATGGGAACAAAAAATTCAAATCTTCAAGAATCAAAAAATACAAGAATTACATATTCCAGTCATTTTTGCTGAAAACCTGAAGTGTGTCTTCCCTTCTCAGACAGAAGCCATTGACCATTGAGAGGAAAGGTGCTGCTTTAGAGACTCTGCACATTATCTGATAGATGCTCCTGGAAGTGTCAGAGGCACTTGCACTGAGCACGCTACTAGGGATTGGAGTTTAGCCCTCTCTCACTTCACTCTCCTCACCCTGCTCAGAGACTTTCCTCAACCTCTTTCTTCTGGGGCAGTACTGGGGTTTGAACTCAGGGTCTCGTGCAGTAAGCATTCTACCACTTGGGCTGCACCTTTTGCTCACAGGGCTGGCCTCAGACTGTGATCCTCCTACCTATGCCTCCTGCATAGCTGGCTCAAGCCCTTTCTAAGCTGTCTAGTTACCTAAAGGTCTGGACACTGAATAATTAGGACTGCATGGAAATATTGACTGACCCAGCTTCATACTGTACTCACAAGAGGCCCCTGGAGCCCTTCTGAGTTTGTTTTTAGGGTAAGAGTTGCTAAGTCTTCCTAATAATCCAGGCTTATAATTTTGAGAATTACCAACAGACTTATTAAATGTTCAATCTCTCCCTCCTCTATTCTTCCATAGCAATTTGACATCCTTTAAAAATTTTGTCTGAGCTGTCTTCAAGCAGTCTCTCCCTTGTGTGGTTCTACCCTGTAGGACAGTGCCTGTGGTCAGTAAATGCTGAACGCATAAATTCATCTTTCTTGGTGAACTCAAAGCATCAGTTACTGCTCCTTTAAACTGGGTACAAGCCAGGTGACTACAGGTACAAGGGAGGCATAGATGGCCACATGTAACACAAGTGGTAGAACACAAACCCCAGTTCTGCCAAGAAAATGAGTGGTTATTGATCAGGGTAAGAGGGAGGCAATGAGGTACAATGTCTTCCTAAGCTGATGACAGCAGTGATGAGATTTTGGTTTTTGCACCCTGTCTAGCATGCATGAGACCCTGGGTTCAATCCCAGTACCAAAAAAGAAAAGACCAAAAAACAAAACAAAAAAACCCCACACAAAACAAAACTACTACTGACCCATCAAAGGCAAGAAACGCAGTAAGTCTACCTACCAGTTTTGTCCTGAAGGATGGGGGAGAGGAACTGTTTCGCCTACCACCTCTGCTGTGTTGCAAGAGGGAAGCCAGGCCAAAGAGCTTGGAGTTCAGGGGGAATTTTAGGTCTTAAATTCAAGGAATGTTTGTTTTTAACTGCATTCTAGAAGGTAAAGCAGATCCCAGAAAACCAAAACAAAAAAGCTGACCATAGTAGGGAACATTCCTTAATCAGGAACACTTCACCCTCTGTGGACAGCAAAGGAGAGTGGCCTGTTTGAGAAGTTGCCCTGCTCAACCCTGGCAGGCGGTGCCTTTCACTGCGCTAGAAAGGCCAAGGCTACTTACGTCTCATCAAACCGGGGTTCCAGGGTCTTCCGCTTCACCGAGGTCTTCTTGCGACTCGCCCACCTCTTTTCTGGTAACAGGTAGATGCGGACGTAGGGATCAGCTCCACTGATGGTGCATGGTGTCAGCTTTCTGAGGTGTAGAGAAAAAGGGCCCTGGTTTCAAACACTGAAAACGCTCGTTCGGGAGAAAGCTGTTAGCCACTCAGCTTTTGGGGCCTTGAGGATAAAAATCCTCTGTAGTCTAGACAGGCAAAATACCAGATCCATGCATTTTTGTACCACTTGGGGTACAGCAAGTACTTTCCAGCCAAGGGGCTGTACTGACTCTCAGCCATCCAGGACAGTTTGGTAGTGACTGCATCTGAGCGAAGCCCCTGGCTCCTGAGCCCAGCAGCAGCGTCCAAGGAGGACCACCGGGCCCCCTCCCTTTGACTCATGGTTCTCAGAGCTTCCGTAGCACCCGCACCTGCAAGCGTTGACGAGCACCCGGAGGCAGCGCCGCAGGCACACATAGCGCACCGTGAGCTGAATCTCACCCAGCCTGCGGTCCCCGCCTCTGTGAAGAAAGGGCTTGTCACTTCTCATCATTAGGAGAGCCGACCCTCACCCCTGAGACAGAAAAGCATGTCCTAAGTGAAGCCAGAGCCACGTGGGCCAGTACTCGGCACGTGTGGACCCTGGTTCCTGGGGGGACTTTGGGTGACCTTGAATTTGATAAGGGTTCGTTCCACCTTGTAAGGTTATTGTAAAGGTTAGGAAATCAGATTACACGCTCTGGGCCAGCAGCTGTCTAATGTCATAACCACACAGATGGCTCTCTCACTTGCCCCGTGTTCTTTCTATCATAGCACACTGCCTCTTGTGAAGATACTTTGTGGAAAACCAGAACTTGCACGGCTCAGTAAGTTCATAGCTTTCCATCCAGGGAGGTATTTTTGCTGCAGGTGGTTTTAGAAGAGATTGAGCAGAGAGGTGCATACTCTGTGTTGACGCTGACATCTGTCAGGTCAAAGCAGGAAGAGGCCAGGGAGTTGAGCGAGCACAGGCTGGGAGCCAGCCTCTTGGGTGGCCACGCGAAGGGCGAGGCAGGACATTTCATAGGTCTGGGCGACTTGACGGGCCCTGGAGAGTGAGGGCCTGGGACAGTCAGGAAGATGGTGGCTGAGTTCCTCTTCTTCCCCACAGGCTCACACAGCCCATTGGCACTGTCCTTGCCTTTGGGCTCTGGATCTGTCTCCTGGGCCACGGGCTCAGTGGCAGCACTGGTGGCCGTTGTGGTGCTCTTGACGGCTCCCTTGGTGTCAGAAGCAGGATCTGGGGGACATGGCACATCTGCAGGGCTGTCTCCCTGAGGTGGAGCTTTGGGACCCTGGTTGGTGGCTAACTTCTTGACTAACAGAGGGCCTTTCTTTAGGGCATCCGGTCCTGTGTACGGGCTCCCCAGCTCTCGTTCCTCCACATGCAAGAACTAGAAGTAAAAGACAGTGGTTTGTGGGTTGGGTCTACTACAGCCACATCTTCAGCCATTGTTTCTTCTTCCCCTTTTCCCCTCAGCCATCTCCAGAAATACGGTGCTCCATACATTCTGAAAAATGTTTACGCCAAAACACAAAGAACCAAACGATAAAAGTTAAGCTGCCCTTGTGTTAATGTGAAGCTGTAAGATCCAAGAAGCTTGCATCTCACTAGTGAAAAAGTAATCCAGAATAAACATTCCAGCCACTGGCAAACATTGACAAGAGGTGTCTGTCTTAGCTTGTACGTGGGGAAAGTCTTCCCTAAGGACATAGTGCCTTGTAGGCCTGTTCTCGTGAATTCTGAGTTCAAATTCAAACAACTTTGGGTTTCAAAACCCCCAGGTAAAGAAATTAAGATAAAATGGGTCCAGGTTTACAGTGCCCCTAAGGTCCTCCTGCTGCAAAACCTCCTCAGAAGAGATAAGCCTTAGTCCAGGAATGCTAAAAGTGTGCCCAGCCCACGTTACAAAACAGTCACCAGGAAAACAAAATTTACTCCCAAGATCCTTTTGTGATTCATAAGCGTAACTGGGTGCTCATGCCACTGTGTGACGTGCCTCCCTCAGACCTTGTACATCACCCACACGACACACAAAAAACTCCCAAGATCTTCAGATAACAGAATTAACAGATTACAGTGTAAAACATTTTCAAATGAATATAAACATAAGGAAATAATAATAATAATAATAATAAAAAGACCTGGTGAATTTGGACGAGATTAAAAACCAACACAGGCTAAAAAGTAAACTGGGCACAGCCAAAGAGAGAGTTAGTGATCTGGAAGACAGTGGTAAGGAATTAGATGGGAAATGGAAGGTGAAGTTCAGACATGGAGGAGGGATGAGAAGGTGCAGTGGAGAGGTTCCAGAGGAAGGGATTTTAAAAGAATGGGTGAGGGAGGAGATGATTACATTTGAAGAGAGAATAGCTGTCAATATTCCAAAATCATTGAACAGCATAAATCCATCTCCTGACTTCTGACTCAGAGCAGGCTTGGTGCCGGGAGAGTTCACCTTGCTCCATAGGCAGAGCCCCCCGCCCTCACCCCAGGGATGGGGGAGATTTACCCGAAGCACCAGCCTCATGGAGATGAGGCTGTCCAGGCCTGAGTGGCCCAGCTGGAAGCGCTGCTCAAGGGTGAGGTCGGCACAGGGGAGGATCTGACACAGGGGCACGTCCAGCACTCCCAGAGCACAATCCTGGTCATCATCCAGCACCTGGCAGTGCCAGCAAAAACCAGGGGTTAAGCTCCACTGGCACCCCCTCTGCTTTCTCGACCCCAACTGAGTCTGGACCATGCAGCTATTGGCATCTGGGTCTCTGTAACCCAGAGAAGAGGGCACCTTGGAGTAGAGGTGTTATCTGAGGCTGGTCTGTGCATGGCCGTGGGGTTTAGGGATCAGTGAGCTATGCTGTTCCATGACGTGACATCCAGGCAGGCATAGGGCCCCACAAGATCCCAGCTCCACCACTTGGTCACGAGACCTTGGGCAAATCATTGACTGACTTAGCCTCTGTTTGCTCCTGTGTCAATAAAAGAGGTAACAACTCTTCCACACAGCTGTGGAAGGGACTTAAGGGTCTGCCTCCTACCACTGACCTTGGCACCAGCCTCAAGGAGATGAGGCCTTGTTTCCCACACACCAGGCGCTGACTCCTGCCCCAGCCTGCCCCTTCTCCCCTGCCCCTTCAGCTCCCCACTGTTCCTGGCTCAGAAACTTCTTCACTGTTCCAAGAGCTCAACTTCAAGCAAACCTTCACATGGAGCTGCTCGGCCTCCACACTGTACACAAAGAAAGGGAACATCTGGCTCCACACAGGGTCCTTGCTGTGGGGACATGTCTGGGAACAGAAGAGGATGAGATCACTGAAGGGTCAGAATGGCCTTCCTCTGCTCTCAGTGTGGTTCCCAGGTGCTCTGGGGATCAGACCGCATGGGCTACAGTAGAGGGGCACAGAGCAGGATAGCCAGACGCTAGGGTAAGGAGTGCATTGCCAGGAAGTTTCACAGAGGCTAAAAAATCATCTCACTGTCGGAAGAACTCACTTCGGGGGCTGGTAGGGTACAGGGTGCTAGATGGAAGAACTTTTTTTTTCATTTATTCATATGTGCGTGCAATGTTTGGGTCATTTCTCCCCCCTGTCCCCGCTCCCTCCCTTTCTCCCCACTCCCTCCCCCTTCCCCCACCCCCTCGCTTCCAGCAGGAACTCTTTTGCCCTTATCTCTAATTTTTGTTGAAGAGAGTATAAACATAAATAAGGAGGACCAGGGGGTTTTGCTAGTTGAGGTGAGGTTAGCTATACAGGGAGATTCCTAGTAGATGGAAGAACTTGAGCCCCAATTCTGCTGTTTTGTAGCACTGTTCTTGGGCAAAGTCACATCTGTAATCCTCAGATTCCTAAACTAGAGGACTACTTTGAGACTACTGTAAAGACTAAAAATGCCCAATAGCAGTCAGTGTAAGTGAATTTCCTTCCCCTTCACCTTTCTCCCTAAAAGAGCCAGGTCCCCATTTTCTCACTCCAGGCTTACCTTACTCGTATATGTCTTCTTGCCTACCGACAGCTTGACATAGGAAGAAGGGTCTCTGCTGACCTTGTTCTGTGAGGGGGACCACAGCACTGAAAGTGGCTCAGCAGGCTTGAGCCTGAGTCCCATCCCCACCCTCCAGGCTCACCCATGGGTCCTGGAGCGGCCAATCGCTTCCCTTTTGAAAGATGGCTGCTCTGTGCTTCCTAGGCCCCTGCCCTGTCCCCTGTGTGAGCACTAGGCAGGACTGTCCCAGGGAGTGGTTCCAACTACTGACTGGAGACCAGAGTGGGGCCTGGCTCAATGCACACTGCTGTTCACTGGAGCTACAGGAACAGAGTAGAGTCAAGTTCTAGAGGCCCCTCCTCACTGTGTGACCCAGGAACTTAACCTTCTGGGTCCTGCTTATAAAATGGTTATAAAAACTACTGACATCTAGTCACCAGAAGGACCAGGGACAGGCTGCTGGCCACCCAGTAGAGCCAGTGAACTGCATTGCATCTCTTGTCATCCTCAGGCCGTGTGTGCACAGACCCCGGCTCAGGACACAGGGCTGTGATTACTTTAGGAAAAAGCTGTCATGATTTGCCCTTAAGTTTCTAGACAGACAGACAGACAGACAGACACACACCTTGGCAAACCTGGAGAGTTTTTTGGCTCGATATTCCCGTTCAGGTATTCGAAAGGGTTTCTCTGCAGCACAAGAAGAACGGGGTTACAGAAACACACAGACATCTGAAAGTGAAGGGCGCAAGGCAGGGGGTGTGTGTGTTGCCTCTCACCGGCAGGTTGCAGGCGCTCTCTAAGTAGACCACGAGGATGGCTGTGGAGAGGCCACCATCGTCCTGCAAACAGATACAGCCTGGTTTTGGAGAAGACAGCCAGGCTTCTAGACTGACTGTGAGATCTCACACTCAGATCCACACAACCTAATTTTTGTTTTTGTTGAGACAAAGAACACAACCATAGCACGACAGATTCAAGTTAGACAGGCACTGACACAGCTCTAAAGACCCCATCCTGTCCGGGGACACCGGTGATGCTCACAGGATGTTTGCTGAGAGGTCAAGCTCCCTGGCTGGGAGAGGTGGCTGAATGACATGTTCTGCAGGAGATGAGCAAGAACGGAGACAGAGGGAAGGACTGGACACTTCCCCTTCCCTGCCACTACCCACACAGTGCAATGCCCTCCTTTCCACTAGGGGGCGCCTGAGACCTGGAACTCACCTCGGCCACAGCTTCCTGGTCAGTGAGCAGTGACAGCCACTCCAGCCGCAGGTGCAGCCGACCACTGGTGGTGTCGTTCAGGACAAACCACTGTGGGGTAGGGACGAGAGGGGAAGGCTCAGGAACAGGGACATGCTACTGACCCTTTGGGGACTGCTCAGTGCTGGAACCTCAAGGGGATCCTAGTAGGGTTCCAGGGAAAGGGTGGACAACACAGGCAGGGTGCTCCATGGGCTCAGCAGGGCTGGTAGATATGGTGACATGAGACAGAAGGCCTGGCCTGCCTTCCCGTGCCATGCGATTGTCCCCTGCTGGGGGTCCTTACTCTGTGGGCATTCCCAGGTGTGCAGCCCAGCACCAAAAGGGCCATGTCACAGGGACTGAAGTGACCTGCTGGAGCTAGCCGAGGGATGAGGGTGGCTACCCTGGAAACCCTGGGGTTGGGACACTGCCTCTACCTCATCCACCACTCTGTTCGTCATGACATCTCCAAGGTTGATCTGCAAGCTGGAACACACAGGAGAGGAGTGAGTACAGCTATTTGCAATCTGTCGCAAATAGCCAAGCAGGGCCATCAGAACGGCCATCTTATCTATCCAGGAGCCAATGCGAGGCCATTGTCAGTCAAGAGCAGGAAGGACTCAGGAGCCATCAGGCCTGCCCCACTGGGCACACACTGCCCGGGGAGACAGTGGCTCCTGGCCTCCTAAAATACAAGCAGAGGCCCCTGGACACATTGCCTCTGTATTTCCCAACAGTGCTACTGGTATTTGAAATGGGATGATTCTCGACTGTGCACAGTGGTCTGGGCACGGTAGAAACTTAGCTTCCTGGCCCTGTGTCCTCTGAATGCAAGGTGCCACCTCCCCAGTCATTTTCACAGCCAAAATGCCATACTGATTTGAAAATGGTCCTGAGCGCCCTGCAAGGGACAAGTGCAGATGGCATGTGTGTGAGAGAGCAGGTGACTCCCGCACCAAGCCTCTCCCTCCCCCACCTGGAGCCAGGCCCAGCTGGAAGGTCCTGAAGCGCCCGCCTGTGTAACTCAGAATGGCGCTGGGAACTCCGATGCCTCTGAACTCTGTACCTAGGGCACACGCCACTACCGCAGTTCTAACCTGCAGCCCTGCAAAAACTGCAACTTTGCCACCCAAATGGAATGATCAGCAACCCCTGGTTATAAGCCATTTCTCGGGCCATCAGACTGTTTCCTGCTTTTCTTAACTCTTTGCTCATGGAGACAAGCTGGCCACCACAGGGCTGTGAAGATGCCAGTCAACTCCCTTCTCTGCCTCTGGCTCTCAGGGGAGCACTGCTAACAGTGGGGCGTGGGGCTCCCCTCCTCCCTCGGCTCACACCCACCCAGGCTGAAACATGCAGGGGTCCTTTCCCTAGAGGCTGAGCCCAAGTTCATGGATGACCCCCAGTCAACACACAGAGTCTACTTGTTTCTGAAAACTGAAGGAGCCTGAGTAGTTGGTGATTGTGACTCTCCAAACATTCAGCCCCTGTCCCCTGAGTGGCTCACGTTTCCGGGGTGGAGAGGGGTTTGGTTTGGTACCTCAGCTACTTCCATAGTAAGTAGAGGGAACGCTAGTGCCTTTATTTTGTAGGCCATTCCCGGTAAAGGGACTGTGTCCAAAAGATGATGGTCAGATCCAGCCCGGCCACTTGAACCAAATGGCCCGTTTGATGGCCACTGAGGGGCTGAGCTCCCTAGCTCACAGGGAACAGCCAGGGTTCCTGGGGATCGGGTGCCTGGCTGCCCACTGCTATCCTTGCCCACTGCTCCAAATGGGGACTCCGGGTACAGCATCAGTGAGGCAGAAAACAGAGCCCATCAGGCACAAATCTTGCCCTGCTCTGTACTGCCCAGGGCCAAGGTTAGGGCTGGGGACTTGAGAGACAGCTGGGAAGGTTTGTGGCAGGACTGGGGAAGGGGGGAGCAGGTTGCCCGGTTTAGTCACCATGATGGAGTCACCAGAGAGGGTTGCAGGTCATTAAGCCATGGGGTAAGGGTGCCTTTGTCCCAAGGCCCAGCCCAGACCCCCAGGGAGAGAAGTCAGCCCCTCAGGCCCAGCTCCACCTCCTCCTCACCTGCCCAGGAAGTCATCCCTGTCAGTGTCCTCATCATACAGGTCCACCTCCAGGTCCTGCCCGGGGACTTCATATACCATGAACTGGAAGCAGAGAGAGGTGTCATGGCCTGCAGTCATGACTGAAAAAATCAGACCTTAATACCCAGAGGGAGCCAAATCCTACTTAGTGCCCACAGGCCTCTGGCCTTCTCAGTGCCTCCCCCAGGGCGGCAGGGAGGACAAGAGACAGCAGGTGCCAGCCCCTGCCCGGAGGACAGTAGTGCCTGCTGCTCTGACCAGGCTTGCTCGGCTGGTTGGGAGGGGAAGCAGGGAAGACCTGACGGTGGCTCTGGAACCTGTGATCTGACTTAACAGACAGCAAGGCCCAGACTTCCAGGAGCAGGGACTGGGGATGAGAGGCAGGGAGGCTGAGGGGAGGGGGCAGGACTGCCACTGAGAGCTCTTTTGCTCTCATTTGAGGGGCCAAAGCAGCCTACCTCTGGAAGCCTGATGGAATTACACAGATCTGCCCACCCGCCTCCAAGGCCCATGCCTCTGGCCAGGGTTTCCCCGTGGGGACAGGAGAGCCACGCAGGCCGTGCCCACCACATCCCAGCGTGAAGCTGAGAGGCAGAGGAGAGCGTCACCTCAAATGCTTCGTTCCAGGTGGGGTTCAGATTCCTGTAGACGGTCCTGCTCCGGCAGTGCTGCAAGCCGATGCTCACCTTGGCGTAGGGGTCTGACTTCCCTCCGAGCCCCAGGAAGTTGTCCTTCGGGGCCAGCTTCTCAGCCTCCAGCAGGTGGACTCTGATCACCCCCTGGAATATGCCCAGCCCGGAGTTCACGGCTGCTTCCCGAGCTGTGCCAGGATATCAGAGCCAAAGCCATCAGAGGTCACCACTGCTCGCTCCCACTCCATCCAATATCTGGATAGAGAGGCAGCAACCAGAGACAGCAGCGACCTGGCCAAGGCCACACAGCAAGTGGTGGTAGGGCCCAGGACATTGGGTCCCATGCCTTCTCACAATCCCTGTCTCCTAACGACCACAGAACGGCTCATTCAGCTACAGCTGTTTGTCCCTCCTGTGCCAACCACCTTGCCACCTGAGGACACCTCCTGTTCTCCTCCAACCCCCTGTGAGGCCTGCACATAGACTGAACCCTAGTGTCACCTTTCCATACCTGGTGGGCACCGCCTGCTGCTGGTCCCTGTACTTATAAAGGGCCTACCCTGTGCTATAGGGCAAGACACCTCCTTCCCCACACTCACATAGATGGTTGTTTAAAAAAAAAAGTTAATAAAGAATGGAGCATAGGAGCCAGGCATGGTGGTGCACACCTATAGTCCCAGCTACTCAGGAGGTGGAGGGAGAAAAATCATGAGTTCAAGGCCAGCCCAAGGCAAAGTTAGCAGTGAGACCCCATCTCAAAAATAAAGTAAAAACAAAAGGACTGAGGGCTTAGCTCACATGATAGACTACTTGCCTAGCAAAAGTGAGGCCCTGGGTTCGATCCCTAGCATCACAAAGATCAGAGCACAGGATGTAGGAAAAGAACAGTTCACAGGACTTAAACACTGCCTCCTTCGTAGAATTTTTTTTTTTAAATACCAGTAGATACGTAACCCACAAAACCGAAAGGCACACTGGCAAGAACATAAAAGACACGTCCCCAAGGTTATTCACTGCACTCTTTGGAGTAGCGACAGCCCAGATGCAACCTGTCTGCCATTGACAGGGAGCTGGTGGGTCAGCTGAGCACGCCCCACAGTCACCGGTAGCCATTAGCAGGGACAAAGGGCTCCGTCCACACTGCCATGGCAAATCCTCATGAGAAATCCAGTGTCGAGCCTGGTGGGGCAGCTGTGGCCGGCTACGGTTTACCAGTGACCGTGTAGACTGGCCGCTCCAGCTGGGGCCTGGTACTCACACAGGGCAGCGGAAAGCGCAGGTTGGTCACATCCAGCCCCTTCTTCACGGGCACCGTCACACGGTTGGGCAGCACCAGGTGGGCAGCGATGAGGTCCTCCAGCAGGCTGTCTGACACCTCACTGGGACACCAGGCATGAGCAGCTATAGAGGGGGCACTGCCTCCCCTGTGTCCTCTTCCCCTCCATTCCATGCCCTGCAGGGGCCCCACCCAGAGGCAGTGCTGCCCCCTTCCTGCCTGGATGTTGGGTGGGAGGTGGGTTCACCTTCTGACAGACCCTGACACCTGTCAGGTGTCATACCCTTCCTCTCCCTGACATACGACATTCTCTTAATACCTGACTCCCTCTCTCCCCAGCACAGGGAGACAGGGACAGTGGCCAGCCAGAACTAGCACGTGGCAAGTGCTCCAAAAATACTTGTTGAATGAAGAGTGTATAACTAGCCAAGTGTGGTGGCTCACACCTGTAGTCACGGCACTCAGGAGACTGGGACGAGGAGCACAGCCAACATAGCAAGACCCTGTCTCAAAATAAATAAAGCAGCACGTGACTGGATCCTCTCTGTCCAGAGGAGTGAGATCAGAGGGGACATCCTCGGTGAGCAGTGGGTGGCCCTTCCTGGAGCCTGGTGAGAGAGTGCCCACCCTGGTCAGTGGGGCTGGTGCTCTCCTCTGCTCCTAAAGAGAGGCCCAGGACTCCGAGGGACCTGTACCTGCCCCACCCCAGCTCCTCCTTGCTGGCCTCTGCTGGGACAGTCACCCCCTTCCACACCTATGCTTGTAACCATGGACACGGGAGGCCTCCCAGACTCCTCACCACACTCCAGCTGGGGATGGGTGATGAATGACATCCAGTGTGTCACCACCTCAAAGGCTCTGCCTCTGAGTCTCTGGACACCTGCAGACAGAATCCTGGGGGGGCTGTTTACCAGGGACCCTGAGGTGGAAGTGCCACTGGCTCCCTTTTTACTGAGGAAAGGCCCAGAGAGGTGAAGCAACTTGTCCATGGTCACACACTTGATAAGGGTCAGGCCCAGCAGCTGATGGGTCTGGCTCCAGACCTGTGCTCACGCCTCCCTAGCCCCGGTGCATGGTCTCCCTGAGGTCATCTCATCTGATCAGTCGCTCTCCCCCTGCACCAGGGCAGGCACCTAATGCCCCTCACCCGCAGTGTGTACGTGTGCGAGTGCGCACTGGGTGTGCACGTGTGTGTGCCACAGAGGCCGTGCCACCCTGTCAGCCTCCCACCCCACACCCGTACTGCACCACACACACTCTTCCCCATGGAGGGCAGCCCAGGCTGTCACCCACTCCTGTCACAGAGCGGGAGGGAAGGCACAGCCTCTGCACACTCGTGGCACCTGAGGCTCCCAGGCACTCACTTGATTCCGGGCGCATCCAGCAGGTTGGTGAGGCCCGTCCAGTTGATCTGCAGGTGCTGTGGGACAGAGGGGTGGCACTCAGGCTGGAAGGACCTGGGAACCCAGGCCAAGAACCTGACAGCCTCCCACCCACCCACCTGAGCAGGGGACACTGGCCTGTGGGGGGGATGCCCTCTGCAACAAGGGCTCAGGAGGGGGGATCCCCTCCCAGCCTGCTCAGGCCTTAGCTCAGGCCAGGCCAAGGACCTCCAGGGGACAGATGGGAGTTTGTCTCAGCTCCACTCTCATCCCCTGTGTGGCCCTCTCTGGGCTTAGTTTTCTCATCGTGGGGACAGCCAGATCCAGGCCGCCTTGAGGATTAGATGAGGCAGGGGTGTGAGTGCCTGTCCACAGTGTAGGAGGCCTGGGGACAGTGCTGGCTCACAGGGAGCAGCAGGCCTGTCCAGTCCCTAGGGCTCACCGGCTTTTGAAGGAAGAACACGGTCACGGCTCCCACGAAGGGCTTGTCCACCAGGAGCGGCTCCAGAATGACCCTCAGGGTGCCCTGCAACTAATGGGCACAGGTAAGGGACCGAGCCTCCCTTCCTCCCATGCCTGCTGCATCAGCCGAGGCCCCTGTGTGCCTCATTCCAGGCCCACGCCACCCCCACCGTCAGGACCACCTGGTCCTAGCCACAGCAGGGACCAACTTGTTGTGCAAGGCCCCATGGCCAGCCACCACGGGCCACAAGTTACCCCCACTGCCACATGGCATGCTGAGCACCCTAGGCAATAGGGACCGAGAGGTTTCTTCCAGCCCAACTCAGCTCTATACCAGTGTGAGACATTCCACCTCCTGGGTCCCCCTGGCTTGCTAAGCAATCACTTTTCCTCACTCTGTCGACAGGCAGCCAGTGCCCCCTGGGGACTTGGCAAACAGAGGGACCTGAGGCCCACTGGGGTTGGCAAGCCCAGCACCACTTTCTGGCCATGTGACCTCAGGCTTGTGCTCCTCCAAGTCACCAGCCTCTGTGTTGGACACTGCCTTCTGCAGCCTGCTGTAGCACACAGGGTGTGTGTGGGGGGTCATCCCCTCCCCCTGACCCCCATGCCCGGGGCTGGCACAGCAGTCACGCCAGCCTCCACCCACCTGGATCCCATTCACCCCAGCACGCATCTTCTGCAGTTCCACGCTGATCTCACAGTCCCCGATGTAGCTGGAATGGGGAGGGAGAAGGAAGGAGGAAAGGAGGGCAGGTCCACTGGCTCAGAGAGGTTGGGAAACTTGCCCAGTGTTGCACAGCCTCAGCCCTGGCTGCTGGCCACCAAGCCTGAGGTGTGTCACTCTGCATGTGACCTCCCTAATAGCCTCTTCCTTTCTCACTTCTGCCAAGACCCTAATTGAAGCCAAGATCCCAAGAGGCAGCCCTCCAGGCCCCTGTGCCTGGGGATCCCAGGCACATCCCCCACCCTGCCCATGGGGGCAGTGCCTCTGGACACCCTCTCCCCCATGACACCCACAGATGAAGAGGAGGGGCCATTGGAAATACGCTGCACCCTCCCTCAGCTGTGCCCCTCTCCCATCTCTGCCCGGGTCTCTTCCACGATGACACAGTAAAACCCCTCTGCTAATAACCAGCCATTGCCCCAGGTTATCCCTGGGGGGCAGGGGGTGAGCAACACCCCAGGCCAGGGCTGCAAGGACCGGAGCCTGGGGCCCCCTGGTGGCTCCTACCAGGTGATGCACAGGGAGCCCAGGGATGGTGCCCGAGGATAAAGCTCAGGAGACTCTGCCAAAGGTCTGAAGGAGAGCCAGGGGAGGGAGTTGGGGACCTGAGGCACTGCCTGGGTGGCCAAGTGGGCCAAAGGATCTCATTGTGCCCCAACTATTCAGACAGGGCTCTCAGGGCAGAGCCTCAGGGGCCAGGAGCACCTGAATGCCTGTCAGTGTCCCAACACACTGGAGACCAGCCCTTAAATTGGGGACAGGTGGCCCCAGGGCTAGCTCTTGTCTCCCCAGCTTTTTCTCTGTGCCAGCGTCTGGGCCAAGGATAGGGAATATGAGACACTGGAAAGGAATGGCAACACTCTGGAGCCTCAGGTACTGACCCTGTCTTTTAAAGCACAATTCAAATCTCACCACCTCCAGGAAGAGCTCCTGGATTGAGTCTCCCTTCTTCCTGACTCAAGCTCATTAGGAAGTGCATTTGAAGGAGGTGGTGTCCTCGCCCAACCTCGTAACCAGTCACTCCTGTGTCCTGGCATCCTCTGGTTTCCCCGAGAAGCCACAGCCCAGCTTTCCAGATGGTCTCTGACAGCCTGCGCTTGGGGCTCCCTGGGCCTCACGAGTCCCCTCCTCTTGTCACACTTGTTCCCCAGCCCTTTCTCTGGAGAAGCGCCCTTGGCTGAGGGGTCAGGCACAGCTGCCCAGGACCAGTTGCTATTCCATCCGTTCTCCTGACATTCCTTCCCCACCTCCAGGAAAGACCTTGTGTCCCAGCCTGGAGGGGACTTTGGTCCTCAGACAGATGGTGTCACACCCTGAACCAGCGCGCACCTGGGCCACTCCATGTCCCCTCTGCTGTTCCTGGGCCTCACCAGATTTGCAGGTCCAGGGTCACCTGTCTCCGGTTGCACTTGTCAGTGTGGGCCTTGACGCCGTTCACCCGGGGACACTGCAAGAGATGCCGGAAGGGTGGGGTGAGCAGGCTCTCACAGCAGGGGACAGCCAGAGCCCTGGCCCACACTGGGCTTTGTAGCCACCAAGGGGCTATGGGGACCCAGCCTGCCCTATGGGACAGCAGCACAGTCCAGGGGACAAATGGAACAGGAAGGGACATAGTAAAGAGCAGCCCATACTGTCCCAGGGATCTGGGGACTTCAGGAACACCTGCCAGCCCAGCTGGGGGGCAGGTAGCCATGGCTCCTGGAGGAATCTAAACTAAGTCCAGTGAGTGACGAGGCACTGGCCCCATCAGAACAAGGGAAGGGGCGGGGTTCCTGGCCAAGACAGCTGACCCTCAGGACACAAGTGGCCTCTCCAGGACCACAGGCTCCAGGCTTAGGACTACAGAACTTTCCTTCTGTTTTGTCTCCTCCTTGGCTCAGACCCTTCTTCTGTCAGGTGTTCTGGTTATTATTTATCAAGAAGAAAAACCAGGCTGGGCATGGTGGTGCATGCTGTAATCCTAGCTACTTGGGAGGTAGACAAGGGGAAGATTGCACTTTGAGGTCATCCTGGGGGAAAAACGTTAGCAAGACTCTCATCTCAACAAACAAGCCAGACATGGGGGTTTGCAGCTGTAATCCCAGATGGGCAAGAGACATAGCTAGGAGAGTCATAGTCTGAGGCCAGCATGGGCAAAAAGCGTAAGACCCTATCTGGAAAATAACCTAAAGCATAACGGGCTGGAGGAGTGGCTCAAGTGGTAGAATGCCTGTCTCGCAAGCATGAGGCCCTGAGTTCAAACCCCAGTTCTACCCAAAAAAAAAAAAAAAAAAGTACATATACATATAAAATAAAAAACAAATTTCTTTTGAATCTGAGTTCTATCATGTGTGCTAAAGTGGTTTGAGGTGACGTCACTGATATCTCCTATTTAGTTTGAAATGCATCAAAAAATGAATAGAAAGAAGCATGGAGCGATCACAAATCGAATACAGCCAGGGGTCAGCACCCGCACAGCTCGGGGGCTAGGCGTGTGACAGTCACTGAGTCAGGAGCACTTTTTGGAGCTTGCAGTTTTTCATAATAAAATGCTGGGGCAAAACTCAATAAGTCCCAGCAGAGGAGGCACCCGGGAGCTCCCTATCTGTCCCCAGAAGGTGGCACTTACAAATGCATCCTGTGAAAAGGCCCTGCATGTGGAAACCAGAGCACAGGCCCATTATGGTGGGGACATGTGTAGTGGTTACTTAAAACTGCTGTATTTTTGCAGAGTTGGTGGTGTGTGTGACGTGTCAGCTTTTAGAATGTGTAACTTGCTGTGATCTTATTTTCTCATTCTTTGCCATATTTATCTCAGTCATTTTGTCCTAATCTTTCATCTTTTCTTTTTCAATATTCCCCCTTTTTTGGGCAATACTGGAGATTTGAACTCAGAGCCTCACACTTACCAGGCCAGTGTTCTACCACTTGAGCCATGTCCCCAGTCCTTTCACTTTTAGTCCTTTTGCATTTCAGAGAGGGATTTGCACTGACTTTGCCCAGGCTGGCCTCTCGATCCTCTCAGTAGCTGGGATTACAGCAGTGTACCGTCACACCTGGCCGTTACATTCTTCTTCTTCGAGAGCACCTGCAGAATCATCAAAGCTTCAAGGCAACAGGCTTCAGCAGAAGCCAGGGCTGGAGGAGGGGCACCGTGGCTGAGCCACCACCGAGGCCCTACTGAGGGTTGGGGCTGTCTGGCACCTGTGAGGGGCAGGTCCTGGGGAAGGCCCCTGCTTCAGCTACCCTCCGGATAGAGCCCGCTCTATGCCGGACATGGCAGCCCTGGCTCCAGTTCACAGCCAGGCTCCAGTGTGGCTGTCACAGGGCAGCTTGCACAACCTCACGGGCCTGTCGCTCATGCCTCACAACAACCCTTTCCTTTTATCCACAAGGAAACTGGAGCTCAGAGAGGTTAGGTGACTGACCCAAGGCCACACAGCAGAGAAGGAGCTGGGCAGAGACAGGGGAATCAGAGAGAGCTGGGGATGCTGGTGGGTGTGGAGGGAGGGATGTGGCAAGCACACGGAGCCTGGCTGCACCAGGGCAGGAGGAACATCTAAGGCGTTCTCTGTGGCCCCACAGTGGAGAAGAGAGGAGACACGAAGATGGGGAACAGGGAGGAGGTAAGCAAGACCAGGGCCAGAAGGACTTTGGAGACTAGGAAGGGGCGTCCTACCAGCCCAGGACATCTAGCCAGCCTGCAGCCTCCCTCTTCTACGTCCCTGGGCAGCAATGCCATATCCCATAACCACCTGTGCCAGAGCAGTGACCTGCCTGGCGGGGCAGGCTGTGTCTGAGCACATCAGACTGCAGGCTTCCTGGCTCTTTACCCACTGAATTCTTCAAAAGCCAACTCAGGTGACACTTCCTCATGGAAGTCTTCCCTGACTGCTGCTGCCCCACAACCCTCTGCTTCCACGCTCGCAGATCCTTCTACCATCATGCCACCCACGCTGCCAGGGTGTCACCCAGCAGTTTCTGTGTCACACCCGACAATCTTTGATGACAAACGCACAGCACACGCTCAGTAAATAGCATGGGAATGGCACAGGAACAGATCCTTGAGCTAAGAGACGCTGGGACCACCAGTCCTAGCAGAGCGTGAGGGGCCTGGACCAGGATCCCAGGACTGAGGCATTCAGGAGCCAACCGGAGACTCCCAAGCTACTTTGTGGCACTGACTGCCCCCAACCACCACCCTGGCTGCACCTGAGGTCATCAGCTATGACTTGCAGAAGTTTGAAAACTAGAGGAACAATTTCCCGCCTCTCCTTTCTGCTCCCCCATCCGGGCCTCCTTGGACCCTGGAGAGGTGGAGGTCTAGGGGGTGAGGGCTGTGAGGTGAGGCTGCCTGGCTGGGACATGCAGAAAAGGGGCTGTCCCCCTGCCCAGGTCAGGTGGGATCTTCCAAGTCCAGTGCCTGACCTGGGAGGGGCAGGAGGAGAGGGGACAGAGAAAAAGTGGCAGGACAAGTGTGACACTCACCTTCTGGCCAAAGTAGAGTTTGGTGAAGGAGAAGGTCCTGAGGTGCATGCTCTTCTCCCTGATCTTGGGTTCGAGTTTCTCCCGGATCTTGTCCTCCATGATCATGCTGAGGTAGGGCCAGATCTGGGTGATGATCTGTGCGGGTGGAGGAGGCCCCTGACGCTTGGGTCTGCGCCCTCAGCTGTCAGTGCACAGCTGCTCGCCTGAGGCCTGGCCCTGCAGGAGGAGGTCCCACGTCCCTGCCTGCCACCCGCTCAAACACCAGAGAACCACAACCGCAGGTCCACTCTGGTGCAGAGGTTGGGGCGTTTTACAGAGCATGGAGGAAAGTTAACCACTTGGGTTCTGCACTAAAACACAACCTCACTGGACGTGTGGTTTATACAGAGCGGCAGAGGCCAATGGCTTAAGAAAACATTTACAGGAAAGAAATTTCCACTGGGGTCAGGTGCCAGCGGTTTACTCTTATAATCCTAGCTTCTTGAGGGGCTGAGGTCAGGAAGGTCATGACTCAAGGCCAGCCCCAGCCAGAAAAAGTCTGCTAGACCCCCATCTCAACCACCAGCTGGGTGCAGTGGTGCACACCTGTCAGCCCAGCTACAGCAGGAAACATAAGTAGGAAAATTGTGGTCCAGGCTGGCCTGGCAAAAGTGAGACTCCCCCCCCCAAAATAACCAGAGCAAAAAGGGCTGGGGGTGCGGCTCAAGCAGTAGAGTGCCTGCCTAGCAAGTGCAAGGCCCTGAGTTCAAACCCCAGCACCTCCAGTTTTCTGTCGATTTAATTTTCACCTTTGGCTAGTTTCTGCAGCACGATGGCTCACGGTGCCCTTTAACTACAGGACATATTCTGACATACAGTGGGGGGCAGATTTTTGTCCCTGTCACCGAATGCACCTAAGCAAACCTTGGCAGTCCAGCCTACTACTCCCCACAGTGAGGTGGTGCAGCTGACAGCTCCTAGGCTGCAAAGCCATTCTTCATGCTGCTGTGGCAAACCCCACAGGCATTTGCAACACCGTGGACAGTGTTTGTGTATCTAGACATAGCAAAACCTAGACTAGGTGGACAAAGCAGCAGGTGACAGGAAACTTTCAGCTCCGTTATAATCTATGGGGTCACTGTTGCATACGAGGGCTCTTATTTTGTGTTGTGTTTTGTTTTGTTTTGCAGTGCTGGGGACAGGGCCCAGAGCCTCACACATGCTAGACAAGCACTTACCCTGAGCCTGGTGGCCTGTCATTGACCAAAATGTTGTTATATGGCACGTAGCCACGTGTGCAATGACCAAAATGAAGCAATTAAAGCCAAGTGTGGTGGCACACACCTGTAATCCTAGTACCTGAGCGGCTGAGGCTGCAGGGTGGCAAGTTCAAGGCCAGCCTGGACTACAGAGCAAGGCCCTATCTCAAATAAACAAAACAAAAAGCCCTAGAAATTGATGTCATTACAGCATTTTTCACTCACCTATAGACTGTCGGGGGCTTTGCCACTGTTTTCTATTCTGGTGGGAAGGAGGCGGAGATGGGACGCCTGTGGTCATCGGGGCATTGGTGGCTCTATGTGTGGCAGTGGCCTCTTCTCCTTCCCCAGGGCTTGGGCCTCAGTATAAAGGTGCCTCACCCTCCACCCTGGCCCCTTCCAAGCCCTAACTGAAGAGCCTGTGAGATTTCAGAGCTCACTGTGCTCTCACAGAGGCCTCTCCAAAGCCCTGGCTCTAAGTTTTGTGGAGGCTGGCGCTGTCCTCCTGTCTCGCTGGCTTGTCACTCTTCAGTGTCTGTGGAGCACACCCTGATACAGGGTTTCCTTTTGCAACTGCCTCCCCGATCCTTGGGCTAGCAGTCCTCTACCTCCACTAACTTGGGTGGCCTCCATGTCACTTAGCAAAGATGCCAGGACTGCACCCTAAAGACCCAGCCCTGCCTTAATCCATGGAACCCTTGTCACACCTCCAAAAGCAACAACCTGGGTCCTCCAAATTTCACCTAGAGGCTGGGGACCATTTTTGATGTTCTTGATAATGACATTTTTGGGAATATGAAAATACCAACCTTAGATCAACAACTGTCAGGAAGTCCCTTCTGCTATCTAACCTTAGTCATTCCTGCACTGGGAACTTGGTAGTAGAGCCCAAGGGGAGGGACTCTGGATGATCCCACAGCAATCATGGCGATGATGTCAGTGACCAGTACCCACCATGTGCCAGGACAGGAACTATAATTACCCCTCCTTTATGAATAAACAACCAGCTCAGAGACGTTAAGCAAACTGTCCAAGGTTGCACAGCCGGTGGTGCTGTACCAGACGGATTACAGAAGCTGTTGTCTAATTACTGTCTTTCTCTCCCTAGCTGATCTTAGGGGGAGGACAGTGGAGGGCTGGGCTTTTGTCTGTACTTTTCTACCTTCTCTAACCTTTCTGCTGTGACCAGGATTTTTTTTAAAAACTTACTTTTTAAAAAAAAAAACCCAAAACTTTAGGAAACCCGTTCTGGTGAATGAATCTTGAGGGTAGCTGCCTGAGACTCCAGATCTTTGTCTGTGCACTGTCCCCACATCAGGTGACCTAGCCAGCAGGAAGTCCAGCCCGCCAGACCCTGCCTGTGGCCTTACCTTGTTGGCCCACTCGACCCGCTCCACGTCTGGAAAGTGGATCTGTGAAACAGAAACCCAGAGGGGCATTTAGACACCAGTGGAATGCTCTGTGTTGGCCTTGCAGCTGGGCAGGTGGCCTGGCAGGTTCCCTACTCCTGTCCCATCTCGTTTGCCTGTTCTCTGCTTCCTATCCACCTGCCTCTGTGGAGGTCAGCAGGGCGCTCTCAGCTCCCACTGTGCAACTCAGAGCCTGCCCTACCTTCAAGGAGGGCGCTGTCCAGTGGGGCAGGTGACAAAAAGTACAGGTGTGGTAGGAATTTCACAGGGTCTGTGGTGGCAGGAGGGGAAGGAGGAATCCTGTCTTTTCAGCCCTCTCCTAGGCCCCTGGCCCATGTGAGAGGCCAGGAGTGGGCAGGAAAGCCAGGAAGTTGCTAATTTGCATATGCAAATAACCCCCCACCCCCTTCAGGAGGACACCTGAGTTTGCGCCTCACAAACTCCAGTCCTCTATTCATTTCATGGACACAAGCAATACACAGTCTGTAGAAAAACACCAAATACCAAATTTAACCAAGCAAAAAGGAAATGGTACCACTCAGAGATCCACTTTTAACAGGGTGACTTTTTTCCAATTGCAAATAGGGAACAGTGGTCAGGCGGTTCCCCCCTCCCTTCCTCTCTCCCACCTTGGCTCCCTGGAGCCCCTCCCAAGCCTTGCTTCCCCCCTTCAGGCTTCCAGTCACAGGACTTCCTCCAGGTGGCAACTCCCAGCCACTGGACCTGCAGGAACAGGGCAGGGGCTAGGTGAAGGCCCAGTCCTGTTGGCCAGCATTGCCTAACCTCAGTCTGCGAGTGGCCAAGTTCTTCCGTGCCGAGGCTCAGGCTGCATACCTGCCCCCCAACCTCTGCCCCTGAGGTTTTCTGGGAGGGCGAGGCATAGGAGTGTGTGCACAGGCACCTGGCATAAAATACAGGTCAGTAAAACTGTCCTGTGGCAATGGCCCTGTCCTGGCAGTCCCCTGACTGTGTGGAATCAGATTCCCATCAACCTGGGGCCTACCCTTCCCATCTGGCAGCTGGGAGGCTCACCACTGCGCAAGAACTGAGCAGATGTGACAAGGTTCACATGTGTACTGCACACCCACCAAGTGCACTGAAGGCTGCAGCTCGCTCCTGGCCTGGACCACTAGCCCAGGAGAAGAGCCATCCCAAAGGAGGGGACAGAGAGTTTAATCCTCTTAGTAGCATGTTAACTGCCTTCTGAGGAGACACCAGGACCATTGTGCCTTTCTGCCAGCCTGTTTCTCCAGCTCTGGGCAATGGCTGATTGAAAATCAGAGAAGTTAATATTCCCAGGTACTGGGAGAAAATACTGCCTGCTTCCCAGAGGGGTTGGTAGCCCAGCCCACAGCACAGAGGGACCAATGGGGGAAGGAATCTTAGTGGGAGCAGGCAGGAGTCCAGGTCCCCTTTCTGTTCAGGTAGCAGAAGCCACCTGTCACCACACATTGCCTGCAGCCACCCTGTGTCAAGCTAGGAGCCAGGAAGACAGAGGGTGAGAACCCTGTGCTGCTGCTTGTCATGCTGCCTGGTACAGAAGTGAAAAACTCAAATGCACGCAGGCCTGGAGACGCCCCCAGCTGACATCATAGCTCATCCCCGACTCCCCAGGGGCCTTTCACAGCTCAACCACCTTGACTTTGTAGCCTGCCAAGGACCTGCACATGCCATTCCCTGGGTCTAAAGCAGTCCTCCATGTTCCCATCTCATACTTCACTTCTTCCCAGAAGCCTCTCCTGGCCTCCCAGGTAGATGGGGTCCCTCGGGCACCTGCTGGTTCTCCATGCACTGCCCACTTGAGCTCTTGGTCCTGCTGCCTCCCTTCCTACTAAACTAGGAGCCTTAGGACAGCCGACTGGGCCTGTCCCCTGTCACAGCCTGCCCTAGCAAATGAACAGCTTAACACACATTTGTGGAATGTGTGAATGGATGCACAGATGGATGAGTGGATGGATGCAGGACCAGACCCCTGTGGCACAGGGTCAGGACTGAGGCAGGAGGAAGGGAGCGTCCCAGAGGAGTTTGCTACAGCCTGACCTCACAGGCGTTCCTGCCCTGGCTGGCTGGGCCACTTACTCCCCTCCTTCCTTCCATCCCAAGCCACTGTACTTCCCACCCTGCCTGGGCACACCTTAGGTGCCAATCCGTCCACATCCCCAGCCCGGGCACTTCTGCATCCTTGGGAGCTGAGTCGTTGTGACTTGGACCCTGGGAGGTGATCCTGCCTGGCAGGTCCAACGCTGGCACCCCTGGGAGCTGGCCAGAAGAAGATTCCTTAGCTGCCTCCTAAATCAGCGTGTGCCAGGGTGGGGCCTCTAGCTTGTTTTTAACAAGCTCCTGGCCTGATTCTGGAACTCAGTCAGGGTTATGAGGTGTTGATGACCAGCCCATGTCTCGTATTAGGGTAACCCACACCTACCCCAAAAGTGTGGGCAGCAACACAGTAGCTAGGCCTGTGCTGATTAAGTTTTCATGGTCTCTCTCCACTTCCCATACCTTTTCGTGTTTTGTTTTGAAACAGGGTCCCACTACGGAGCCCAGGCTGGCCTCAAACTCTTGATCCTCCTTGTCTCCACCTCCCGAGTGCTAGGATTACAGGCGTGTGCTGTCATGTCCAGCCCCACACTTACATCTGACACTCCTCACTGAGAGGACTCTCCACAGCCAAGCCTGAACCCCTAACGAGCTGTGATTCAGTCCAAGAAAATAAGACACCATCAAGGCACTCAGTTGTGCTGCAGTTACCTAGTGGCCTCCTCCTGCCTGAATCTCAACACCTGTCTTCACTCAGTGAACTGCCATTCAAAAGCCAGACCACGTTCCCATGCTCTTGTGACTGCCCAGGTAAGTCAGGAACGGAACACTGTGGACACTGACGTTTGGAGGCAAATACTCAACTCCTTCCTCTTTTGAGGTAGATAGACCAGCCAGTCTGTTTCCCCATCAGAATTAGTCATTTTTGGAACTTGCTGAAGAAATGTTTGTCCATGGCAAATTCTCAGTTATCCCATTTCTGGACTTGGTGTCCAACTGCATCAGTCTGTTTCCTATTCTAGTGTCATACTTTTAACCACATTGTCTTTGCAAATGACTGGGTTGGGTGATTCTTCTGTTTTGCTTTCCTTTTCCAAATTCATTTGGATAACAGTAGACACATTAGTCAGCTTGGTGTTACTGTGACAAAATACCTGAGACGATCAACTCATAAGGAGGAAAGGTTCACTTTGGTGCATGGTTTCAGTCCTTGGTTGCTTGCCCTCATTGCCTTAGGGTGCATGGTGAGGCAGGGCATCAGAGCTGGGACTCAGGGTGGAGCAAGATGACCACCTCATGGTGGTCAGCAAGCAAAGAGGGAAACAGGAAGGGGGCTGGGGTCCCAATATCCCCTTCAAGGGCACATCACTGCAGGAGGCCCCACCTTCTGGAGGCTAAGATGAGGACCAAACCTTCAATGCCTGGGCTTTGGGGAACATTCCAGACCCACACGAAACATTTCATCTTCCATATGAATACTGACACCTCGATAGCATGAGCTTTTACACTCACAAACAGAATCTGTCCCTTTACTGGCATTTTATTGTATTCACGTTTAGGATCATAAACAGGAATTTTGTCCTGTTCATTTTTTGTAAGTTTGTGGCATTTGCAGTTATTAAAAATAATGTATCAGTGGGGGCTGGTGGCTCACACCTGTAATCCTAGCTACTCAGGAGGCAGAGATCAGGAGGGTCGTAGTTCAAAATCAGCCTGGGCAAATAGTGTGCAAGACCCAATCTCAAAAAACCCATCACAAAAAAGGGCTAGCAGGGTGGCTTAAGCCAAAAAGGTACCTTTAAGTATGAGGCCCTGGGTTCAAACTCCAGTACCACTATAAAAGAAAATAGTGTTTCAGTACTGGAGGCTCAAGTGGCAGAGTGCCCTGAGTTCAATCCCCATGATCACCAAAAATAACAAAGAAGATATCTCACTTTCTGAGCAACTTTGCTGAAATTTGCTAATTGTTCTAATTGTTCATTGAGTCCCCTGCGTTATTTATGTAGGTTTACCATCTCTAGATAAGATAACAATTTGTATCTTTATTTTCCTTGCTTCACTTCACTGGCCAGAACCTCCACTGTCATGTTTAGCTGAGACACCAGTCTCTGCTCCAGCTTCGATACCGTGGAGTGGGGAAAGGTGTCATCACAGGAAGACCTGAGCATCTGGGGCCTGCCTGGTTCCCCACCCTTCGAGGGAAACTCCTCAAGTTCCCCACTAAACAAATTTTCACCATAGACTCCAGAGGACAGCCTCCGTCAGACTGGGAAAGTGCTCTTCAGTTCCTAATGTCCTCAGAGCTGTCGTTACAGATGAACTTGAACTAGATCCAATTCTTTCTTGAGTCTATTGAGATAATCCTGACCTTTTCCCTCTAGTCCATTGATGTGGCCAAGTGAAGTGGCAGCTCTTTCAAGGTTTCTGGGGTAGCCCCACTTGACAGAATAGTCCACTTGGTTTTTAGTCACCTGAGACTCAAAGTGCTACCTACAGTTTTTGTTCTTGTATAACTCACATCAGGTTTTGATATAAAAATTTTGTAATAAATTATAAAATGATGGGGACAGCTTTCCCTAGCCTCCCATTATCTGAAACAACGTACAAATATAGGACAACAGGATCCATCAAGTTTAGTAGATCTTGCCTCTCCATAAAACCAGCTTGGCCTGAAGCTTTTTGGGGTTGTAAGTTACCGTCTCACCACAAAGCACCACTAGTGGGCTCTCTCTCTCTCTCTCTCTCTCTCTCTCTCTCTCTCTCTCTCTCTCTCCTGGGTTTGGACTCAGGGCCTCACGCTTGCTGGGTTGACATGCTACCATTTGAGCCACACACCCCAGCCCTCCACTAGTGGTTAATGTCCTCCAGGTCTACGTACCTCTTATTGTGATTTTGGCATTTCTATTTTTCTAGACATGTATTTCATCAAGGATTTCAAATTTAATGATATGTAACTTTTATAAAAT